AAGGTCAGGTGAATTCACCAGTGCGGAAAATCTATTGTCAACCCCCCCCATTGAAATTATTAAAAGAAGGAAAATTAGATACTTACATCAGTGGTATAGATGAGGTTTTTGCTGCCCGGCACGGTCACTGAGTTTGCCGCCCCTCTTGCTGGTCCTCATGCGGGAGTCCTGTCAATTTGCCACGGTCCTCCCCTCATCTCCCCTCCAACTGTCCTTCCCTTCTCCCCCCACTCCTAAGGGGTGGGAAAGAACTCAGTTCCTGTCACCTCAGACTCCACCTCTTCTTTGCTTTACTTAATGCCTCATCATGTTCTTTGTTTCTCTTGCTTCAGCCACAGCTCAAGCACCTATTCCTGCCCAGCAAAAGCAGCCAAAGCAGGAGCAATAAGGAGGATGTAATCTCTCATACCTGCATGCTGCTTCTGTGAACAGCCATAAGTACAGTGCTCAAGTACAGTGGATTTAGGTGGTGTCATAGGTGCCCCTCTGTGCCCGCAACAAGCCCCGTTGGGCCTTTCTGCAGCCTGCCGCAGGCATGGGAAAGTCCAATGGGGCTCGTCGCAGGCTTGGGAAGGACCGGCGAGGCCCGCCACAATGAGGTCTAGCCCCTGTGGGTGGGCTTAGCCCCATCCCAGTTTTGCAGGGGGTGGAGTGGTCTGAGGTCCCCTCAGCCATAGGGAGTTGGTGCCTTTGGATGGTGTGGTCAGATGAGGACTGCCTTCTTAAACCTTCCCTAATCTAGATAAGTGTTTTACAAAATTCCATGTTTGAAGAAATCCCCAAATTGCAGCAAGTGGTGCTGGAACCCATCAGAAGGGATTTTCCTTTCTCTTCTTCTAAGTCCCACTAGTCCCTTTCAGCCTGAAAGGTTCTACACTTAGGCAAGAATAACCAGCTGCACCAAGATGGGGATCACTTGGTTTACCAGCAGTATATGTTAACAGATCTAGGAGTCTTAGTAGACCACAATATGAGTCAACAATGTGATGCTGCAGCAAAAGAAGTCTAGTCTCTAGATCAAGTACCACTCTACTCTGCCTTGGTCAGACCACACCTGGAATAGTGTGTCCAGTTCTGGGCGCCACAATTTAAGAAGGACATTGACAAGCTGGAAGGTGTGCCAGAGGAGGGCAACCAAGATGATCAAGGGTCTGGAAAGCAAGCCTTATGAGGAGTGCTTGAAGGAGCTGGGTATGTTTAGCCTGGAAACGAGGAGACTGAGAGGAGATATGACAGCCATCTTCAAATATTTGAAGGGCTGTCACATGGAAGATGGAACAAGCTTGTTTTCTCCCGCTCTGGCTTCAAGTTACATGAAAGGAGATTCAGGAAGAACTTTTCTGACAGCAAGAGCCCTTCAACAGTGCAACAGACTTCCTTGGGAGGTTTTGCACTCTCCTTCCTTGGAAGTTAGTAATCGGAGGTTGGATGGCCATCTGTCATGGATGCTTTAGTTGAGATTCCTGAATTGCAGTGGGTTGAACCTAATGACCCTTGGGGTCCCTTTCAACTTTACAGTTCTAAGATTTTATGAAAGGTCCTTACAACATAATGCAACTTAGTCCCATATGATTAAGTAATTATAAATAAATGAGTCCCCCCACCCTGAAAATAGTGCACTCAGATAAACTGGTTTTTGATTTTTGATTAAGATACTTTGGTCATAATAACAGGCTACATCCAACTAAATCCTACTTAGGGCAGACCCTTTGAAATTAATGTTTGGATTTTTAATTCATTTCAATGAGTCTACTCTGAGTAGGAGTAGCATCCGAGGCAACGGGGTGTGTGTGTGTGTGTGAGAGAGAGAGAGAGAGAGAGAGAGAGAGATGTAAATTTACATAGCAGGAGGAGGGCAAATGAGGGCTGAGAGCAAATGTAAAAAAAAAATACAACAGCTGCATATTCCTGCACTGCAGAGGTTTGGATTAGATGATCCTCAACAGGGTCCTTTCCAACTCTATAATACTATAATTCTAGGGGAAAGGAGCCGAAAGGGCAAAATCGCTTCCCAAAGGTGTCTTTCAACATGAGAAAGGATTTAAAGTGAGGCAGAAAACAGTTAAGCAGGGAGATGTGGAAAGGTGGGAGGGGGCACAGAGAGAGAGATGAGGAAAGAGTTACCCTGTTAATTTATTCGCAACTTCAAAAACACAGCCCATTACACAGGAAAAGAAACCCAAACGTGCAGCCCTGGCCCTCAAATGAAAGGTGACAGCAGGCGACCACAGTCTCTCCCACCTCCGCGCCCTTTTTGGGAGTCCGTGTCAGCCCCAGAGGGACCCTGCCTTGACCTGTGAGCAGCACAGCTTCAACCGCAGCCACACAGACACACACAAAGCACCAGAGGCGAGGGTGGGACATGGACAGGCAGGGAGAGCACATGCGCCCGGCCCCGGCAACAGAGGTGGGAAGGGGATGCGATGTAACTCAACCCCGCTCAGTTCCTTGAGGTAATCGTGTGCAAACACACAAACACACCGCGCCCAGACCTTGCCCAGCCCACCACCGCCCTGGACGCCTCCTTTGCCTCAAAGGAGACCGTGTCAAGAAGAGTTCAGCCGGCTTTTTGTCACCTCCCTCAGGGATAACACCCGGGGCGGCCTGCACCCCCTTCCTACGCCACTGCCAGTAGCCCATCCCCAACACCCTCTTAATGAAGGGAGAACCAGACGCCTCACTGTTTGTTGTAAAACTCACATTTAAGTCACTAGGACAAAAAAAGTTGGAGAGCACAGGTGACACAGATTTCAATGCATTCATAATCCCAGCTAGCTGAACAGGTGTGGGGATGTGTGTGTGTGTGTGTGCTCCTCAGCATTGCTGTTCTCTACTACAGACACTTTGTGGCAGCAAAGCACAACATTTCCTGCACTTCAGGAGAAGAGAGTTCTGCTCCTGCCTATGCCCAGCTCTATCGACAACAAAAAAATTATATAAAAGCCAGCTGTGCAGAAATGACTTACATGAGGGACATTAGAGGGCAGCATTCATACTGCCAAAAAAGCACTCTGGCTGTATCTATACACTGGATTAGCAGATATTTCCTCTCCTCAGAAAAACCTGAGAACTCAGCTGGGGGAGGGAAGAGCTCTGACATTCTGTAACACAGTACTCCAAATGCAGTCGCATCATGGATTTATATGACAGCATTATGCTATCAGCAGTTTTTATTCCCAATTCCTTTCCTAATGGCTCCTAGCATGAAATTTGTCTTTCTTAGAGAGATGCCGCACTGGGTTGGTATTTTCATTGAGCTTCCCACTATGACTCTGATTCCCGCTTAATATTGGAGGCAGAACACAGCCATCATGACTAGTAGCTATTGACAGCCATACGCTCAATGAATTTGCCTAATCCTAATCTTTTAGAGCCATCCAAGATGGTGGCTGTTGCAATGCATTGTGTGAAGAAATGCTCCCTTTTGTCTGACTTGAATCTTCCAATGTTGACCTCCACTGTATGTCTATGAATCCTAACGCTATGAGAGAGGAAGCAAAACACATTCCTTAATCCATCCATATTTTTATCATGTCCCCTCTTAGTCGCCTTATTCTCTAAACTAAAAAGCTTTTTGTCATGTTGGTTGCCCTTCTCTCAATCTTCTCTAACTCCACGTTATCCTTTTTGTAGTGTGGTGCTGGAATTGTAAACAGTATTCCAAGTGTGATTGTACCACACTTTTGTATAATGGCATGATGATACTTACAATTTTATTTCCAGTGTTATTGGGTGAACATTTTAGGGGTGGTAAGTTTTACTCAGACTAGGTTTTACTCAACTAAGTTTTATTCGGAGTAGAGCTATTTAAGTTAACGAACCTAACTCCGCCATGCTCATTAATTTCTCCAGGCCTACTCTGAGGAAAAATTAGTTGAAAAACCACCGTACATATTTTGCATTATTAAAAAAAGGTAAAGGTACCCCTGACCGTTAGGTCCAGTTGCGGACGACTCTGGGGTTGTGGCGCTCATCTCGCTTTACTGGCCGAGGGAGCCGGCGTTTGTCTGCAGACAGCTTCTGGGTCATGTGACCAGCACGACTAAGCCGCTTCTGGAGAACCAGAGCAGCGCATGGAAACGCCGTTTACCTTCCCGCCGGAGTGGTACCTATTTATCTATTTGCGCTTTGAGGTGCTTTCGAACTGCTGGTGGGCAGGAGCTGGGACCGAACAACAGGAGCTCACCCCGTCGCAGGGATTCAAACCACCAACCTTCTGATCGGCAAGCCCTGGGGTCTGTGGTTTAGACCACAGCGCCACCCGCGTCCCTATTTTTAATATGTTCTTATTTTAATCGTTTCTTTCTGTAGTATTTTATCTTGTAAATCTCCCAGAAAGTTTTTTTTAAGGTACAGAGCAACTAACGTGCCATAAAGAATAACTATTATAATAATATTCTATCTAACACCATTTTTGAAGGCTGCTGTTTTTATATATGCCACTATATATAAAATTATGTTCCGCCCTAAACAATGTACAGAGCGTGGTTTTGTAAGTAACCTATTTGGTCTCGCAGAATCTTCTACTTCGATTATCCTTTAATAGAATATCTCCCTCTAATAGCATAACCAAGTGCCAGTGGGAATGGAGTCAGAATATGCCCACTGAGAAAACAAAGGGTCGTTAGCTGCTTCACACACTTCCATTGCTACTGCTGCTGCTGCACGTGCAGAGGGGGACTCGCCTCAAGCCAAGCTGTTGCTTCAGAAAAAAAAGACCTCAGCGATATATATATTTAAAGCAACTTTCTCCTCCTCCCTTGCTTCTTTTTGCTTCCTCAACCAGCCAAAAATGCCTCACGGAGATCGGGGGAGTGACTGGAGGGGAAAAGAGCAGTTCCGCAAACTACTCATTGGTGGCTTAAGCATCGAAACAACAGAAGAAAGTTTGAGAAACTGCTATGAGCAATGGGGAAAGTAAACGGATTGTGTGGTTATGAGAGACCCTGCAAGCAAACGAGAATTTGGTTTTGTCACATTCTCTTCCATGGCTGAAACTGATGCAGCAATTGGCTGCCAGACCTCATTCCATTGATGGAACAGTAGTTGAGCCGAAAAGAGCTGTAGCCAGGGAGGAATCTAGAAAACCTGGAGTTCATGTTACTGTGAAAAAAATGTTAGTTGGTGGAATTAAAGAAGATACTGAGGAACATCACCTTAGAGAGTACTTCTTGGAATATGGAAAAATCGACACAATTGAAATAATTACAGACAATCTGGTAAAAAGAGGGGCTTTGGATTTGTAACTTTTGATGACCATGATCCAGTGGATAAAATTGTATTGCAGAAATGTTGTTGTTTAGTCGTGTCCGACTCTTCGTGACCCCCTGGACCAGAGCACGCCAGGCACCTCTGTCTTCCACTGCCTCCCACAGTTTAGTCAAACTCATGCTGGTAGCCTCGAGAACACTATCCAACCATCTCGTCCTCTGTCGTCCGCTTCTCCTTGTGCCCTCCATCTTTCCCAACATCAGGGTCTTTTCCAGGGAGTCCTCTCTTCTCATGAGGTGGCCAAAGTATTGTAGCCTCAACTTCACGATCTGTCCTTCCAGTGAGCACTCAAGGCTGATTTCTTTTAGAATGGATAGGTTTGATCTTCTTGCAGTCCATGGGACTCTCAAGAGTCTCCTCCAGCACCATAATTCAAAAGCATCAATTCTTCGGCGATCAGCCTTCTTGATGGTCCAGCTCTCACTTCCATACATCACTACTGGGAAAACCATAGCTTTAACTATACGGACCTTTGTTGGCAATGTGATGTCTCTACTTTTTAAGATGCTGTCTAGGTTTGTCATTGCTTTTCTCCCAAGAAGCAGGCGTCTTTTAATTTCGTGGCTGCTGTCACCATCTGCAGTGATCATGGAGCCCAAGAAAGTAAAATCTCTCACTGCCTCCATTTCTTCCCCTTCTATTTGCCAGGAGATGATGGGCCCAGTGGCCATGATCTTCGTATTTTTGGTGTTGAGCATCAGACCATATTTTGTGCTCTCCTCTTTCACCCTCATTAAAAGGTTCTTTAATTCCTCCCCACTTTCTGCCATCAAGGTTGTGTCATCAGCATATCTGAGGTTGTTGATATTTCTTCTGGCAATCTTAATTCCATCTTGGGATTCATCCAGCCCAGCCTTTCACATGACGAATTCTGCATATAAGTTAAATAAGCAGGGAGACAATATACAGCCTTGTCGTACTCCTTTCCCAATTTTGAACCAATCAGTTGTTCCATATCCAGTTCTAACTGTAGCTTCTTGTCCCACATAGAGATTTCTCAGGAGACAGATGAGGTGATCAGGCACTCCCATTTCTTTAAGAACTTGCCATAGTTTGCTGTGGTTGACACAGTCAAAGGTTTTTTCATAGTCAATGAAGCATAAGTAGAAGTAGAAGGAAGATGAGCCCCTCAGGTCGGAAGGCATCCAACAAGTTACTGAGGAAGAGCGGAGGACAAGTACAAGTAGATTCAGAGCTGATGAAGTGGCTGGTCACTCAGTTGCGGATATGCCTGGAAGCGAAAGGAAAGTCCAATGCTGTAAAGAAAAATATTGCATAGGAACCTGGAATGTAAGAACTGTTGGGTGTAGTGAAGGGTTAACCTTCTGTGTCTCGAGGCTGAGAGGAGGCGCTTACAAGGGAAGTAAGCCAGGACGTGACGAAAGCAGCTTGGAATGCTGTGAGCTGAGTGAAAAGTGAAAGCAGCTTTGCTACGCAGCTGCAAGCTGAGAAGGATGAGAAGATGCAGCTTGAATCAGATGGAATGTCTTGCTTGTAAATATGCTACTTTTGAGCAAATAAAGTGCTATTAGGAAAGAAGAAACGTGTGGGACTTGTTTTACTGCCCTTTCAACACGGACGCTGTGCAATTCTGCTAATTGCTTTACGACCTGCAGAGGCTCGCAGGGGGAAGTGTGCTGGACGCCAAGAATAAAGCAATAAATCTACCTAACATGGTTATGGGTCAACGTGAAGCGTGTGAGAAAGGGCTTTGAAGCTTTATCTGCTGATCGTCAGTTTGATCGACTGCCGGAGACTTCAAAGAGGCAGATCGGAGGAGACTGACGGAGAGGGAGCCAAGAGCCATGACGTCCGGAGTTCCCAGTTTGGCTGAGTGAGTGAGTACCTTTGAAAAAAGCCAACAGAAGGGAGGCAATGGCTCAGCCCTGTGAACATGGCTTTGAGCTTAAACTGCCATGTCAGAAACTGACTAGCCAAAATTGGCTGCAGTGGAGCTTTCAAGTGGAGCTTTTGCTAGTTGGGGAGCAGCTGTGGAATGTAATTCACCCCACACAGAATGCAGCTGGGAAAGCAGAGGCTAATAGGGCTGCAGAGCAAAATGAAGTTGAGAAGCGTGTGCTTGCTTTTTTGGCAGAAAGTGTGGATGCTCATCTGGTGCCTGTTGTCCTGGGTGCAAGAAGGCCAGAGGCCGCTTGGCTAGCACTCCAAGAAGCTTGTGGAGCTGGAGTGGGAAGCAAGGGCCGAGAAGTGGCTGCATCCGAAAGGGAGAGGCAAGATGGCGCCGGCCAAATTCTTGAGAGCCGATACACAGCTGGGAGGAGCTGGGAGCCCCCACAGGGGGGCGAAGGGACTGTTGCTGTTGTTGTTGCTAGCAATGCTGCTTGTGCTTTTGCTGAGCCTGGGAGCTGTGTGGATGCTGCAACGTGTCTGTGTGAGGAACCTGGAGTGAGGCCAAGTGTTGGGAGCCCTTTATCCATCAGAGGGGGTGCAGAAAAACGTCCTGGAGACCCCGTGAGCAGTGGGGGGGCAGTGAGCAGTGAAAGCTCAGAGACGCCTCTTTCTCCAAAAGCTGCCAAGAGTTGTTTACGTCGTGAGTCGGAGCCTGGGAAGCTGGAAAGAGCTAGAGGCTTCAAGGTCGGCCACCTGCAGCAAGTAGAGATAAGAGCTTCAGAGTTGTGTGGGAACGCCGAGACAAGTCCAGTCTCCATGGCAACTGAGAGAGTTGCATCTACGGAAGCTGTGAAGGTCGTGGGCAAGTCTTCCTGCCGGGGGGAGTCTGTTGCCATGACAACCAGAGAGGACATCTGCAGAAGCCCCAAGGAGGGGGGTAGTGAGGAGATTGTTGCCCTGGCGACCCAGGAATGTAAACAACAAGACTTTCTCACTGTAATAATTGACAGTGGTGCCTCAAATTCGTTGGTGCCATCTGCTGATCTTTTGAGGAATTGCAGGACAGTAAAAACTGAGAAGTATGTTAAGTTTGCAGATGGAAGCAGAAAAAGGCTAACAGAGACAGGACTGTTCTTCTGTCCTTTCCTTAAGCATGAAGTCAAAGCTTATGCAGTGCCCGGTTTAACTAACTGTTTGTTAAGTGTGCATGATCTATTGATCGATGGTTTTCAAATTTCTTTTGCAGGTGACAAATGTGAATTCTCCAAGGATGGGAAACACGTGTACACAGTGCAGTCTAAAGATAATTTGTTTGCTGTAAATGTGCCTTTTTCCACAGGAGAGGATGACACCGAAGATGCGAAGGGCCAATGTGTGAATGTAGCACCCCACAATGGTTGTTCACATATTTGGCACCGACGCTTCGCCCATTTGAATTGGAGATATCTCCAGAAAGCACCAGAGCTGACACAAGGGTGCAAATTTAATGTTTGTGACAAATTTCTAGATTGCAATGCATGTAAACAGGCGAAAGTTGTGACATGCTCATATCCAAAGTCAGAGAGGCAGACCACGCAACCCTTTGAATTAATTCATGCAGATTTGTGTGGACCCATGTCTGTTGAGTCACTGGGAGGTTCGAAGTATTCTTTGCTTTTGATTGATGATTTTTCGAGGTCTGCTTGGACCTTCTCTCTGAAAACGAAAGGGAGGCGGCTAAAATGATCAGGGATTGGATCACCGCAGTTGAGGTAACCTTTTCCACCAAAGTTCGTGGTTTTCAAAGTGACAGAGGTGCTGAATTCACTGGTTCTGCTTTACAGGATTTCTTTAGGGAGAAGGGAATTAGCCACAGACTGACTGCTCCTTACTCTCCGCAACAGAATGGGCTGGCAGAGAGAAAGAACAGGACGGTGCAGGAAGCTGTGTCTGCGATCCTGTGGGACGCAGGGCTACCCCAGAAATATTGGTCGGAAGCCTGGCGCTATGTGGTCCATACCGAGAACAGAGTGTACAACTCTAGTGTAGGAAATACACCATATTTCTTACTTCATGGAGAGAAGCCTAAGGTGCACTACCTTCGTGTGTTTGGTTGTGAGGCTTGGGTGCTTATTCCAAAGGCTCTACGCAAAAAAGGTGAGCCAAGATCTAAAAGAATGATCTTTGTAGGGTATGAGCCTGGCTCAAAGGCCTGGCGGTTTGCGTACCCAAGTGGAGACCAGTCTAGGTTGGTTATCAGCAATAGCGCTGAGTTCTGTGAGCAAGCTGGTTGGAAACGTCTGCACGCTAATCCAGACGTGCTTCCACAGCAGTTCTATGACTCAGACGTTGAGGAGGAAGAGAAATTTGGTGCTGGGGACCACGGTCCAGAGCGACAGAGTCCAAGGCAGGGACAGCTCAGGATCCCTCAGAGGGGGGAACCTAGAACACCTCCTCAGGCAAGTGTCAAGTTTGAGCCAAAGAGTGAGCCTTCCTCACCTGCTGGACCAGCTGTAAGGCCCAAGAGGCGCAGCAGGTCAGAGGGGAAGACACTGAAGTTGAGGATGATTTAGCTGGACCCAGTGAAGCGGCAGGGTCACCAGGATTCACACTGAGGAGATCAGCGAGGACAAGGAGGCCTCCTGATCGGTACGGCGCTTCAGGCGTCTGGGTAGGTTCTGCAAGATGTGAACCTGAATCCTTCGAGGATATTCAGAGTTTACCTGAGGAAGAAGCAGGCAAGTGGCACAGGGCAATGGACAAAGAGATGAAGTCCATGAAAGATCTAGGTGTGTTCTCACTCACAGAGTTGCCACCGGGAAAGCAGGCTGTGAGTTCCAGGTGGGTTTACCGCTTGAAACCCACTGACGCTGGAGAGCCGCAGTATAAAGCCAGGTTAGTTGCTCGAGGATTTACTCAGAGGAAGGGAATACACTTCACGGAGGTGTATTCGCCAACGTCACGAGCGGAGACTCTGAGAACGCTTTTAGCTTGTGCAGCACAGAGAGGCTGGAAGGTAAACCACTTTGATGTGGATGTTGCCTACCTTAACTCAGATCTCCAGGAGGAGCTGTACATGATTCCTCCTCCGGGGTTTGAGAACTCAAGGCAGGATGTTGTGTGGAGATTGCACAAATCCATCTATGGATTACGTCAATCTGCTAGAAACTGGAACATGTGCCTGAATGAAGCCTTAGAAGAGCTAGGTTTCAGGAAGAGTCTTGCTGACAGTTGCCTGTTCCTTAGAGGATCAGGAGACTCACAGGAACTGGTGCTGATTTATGTTGATGACGTGCTTTTCTTCTCAGAAACAGATGAACAGGCGGAGAAGTTTGCCAAAGAGCTAGGTAAACGATTCAAGCTTAAACAGCTTGGTGCTGTCAAAACCTATCTAGGTGTCAATGTTGAGCGTGCACAGGATGGAAGTTTTTGCTCAGCCAGAGAGGTAAAATTGAGCAATTGCTTCAGAAAATGAGGATGAGTGATTGTGCAGGAGTGAGAAGTCCTATGGAGACTAGTTTTGTGAAGGACAGCCAGCAAGTAGAACGCGCTGCGTTCGAAAATACTGAAGTGTTTCAGTCAGCCCTAGGGAGTTTGTTGTACTTGTCCCAGTGGAGCAGACCTGATATAGCGTTTGCTGTCAATCTGCTCAGCAGGGAGGCATCAAACCCTAGTGTGCAAGCCTGGAATGGCATCAAGAGAGTTCTGAGGTATTTGCAGGAGACCAAAGACTTTTGTCTTAGGTTGCCAGCACAAGGAGAAGTGAAACTGACTTGCTTTGTGGACTCGGATTGGGCTAATCTTGAGGATCGCAAGTCTGTGTCTGGCCTAGTGGTGAAGTTTGGGAACTCAGTAGTTGGATGGAGGTCCAAGAAGCAAAGTCTTATAGCGCTCTCATCCACTGAGGCTGAGTTTAGTGCTCTTTCAGAGATGTGCAGAGAAGTAGAGTTCTATGCTTGTTTGGTGCAGGAACTCTGCGAAGTGGATTGTCTGCCGATACGTGTTTTCGAGGACAATCAACCATGCCTGCGTTTGGCAGAGTCAGGTCAGTTCAAGGCCAGAACTAAACACCTAGACATTCGCTTTCGGAATGTGTGCCAGAGTGTTCAGGAGGGATTAGTTGCGCTGACGTATTGTCCCTCTGCCAAGAACCTAGCTGATGGGTTCACGAAGCCACTCACCTTCCAAAGACATGGAGAGTTTTGTGAAGGTCTGGGTTTGGGACGACCAAGGGTCGATTCTCCCCTCAGGCGCGAGACAAGAGGGGGTGTTGGGTGTAGTGAAGGGTTAACCTTCTGTGTCTCGAGGCTGAGAGGAGGCGCTTACAAGGGAAGTAAGCCAGGACGTGACGAAAGCAGCTTGGAATGCTGTGAGCTGAGTGTAAAGTGAAAGCAGTTTTCCTACGCAGCTGCAAACAGAGGGATAAGATGCAGCTTGAATCAGATGGAATGTCTTGCTTGTAAATATGCTACTTTTGAGCAAATAAAGTGCTATTAGGAAAGAAGAAACGTGTGGGACTTGTTTTACTGCCCTTTCAACACGGACGCTGTGCAATTCTGCTAATTGCTTTACGACCTGCAGAGGCCCGCAGGGGGAAGTGTGCTGGACGCCAAGAATAAAGCAATAAATCTACCTAACAAGAACCATGAACCTTGGTAAGCTGTATGTGGTCAAAAATGAGATGGCAAGAATAAATATTGACATCCTGGGCATCAGTGAACTAAAATGGACGGGAATGGGCGAATTCAGTTCGGATGACCATCATATCTACTACTGCGGGCAAGAATCCCGTAAAAGAAATGGAGTGGCCCTCATAGTCAACAAAAGAGTGGCGAAAGCTGTACTGGGATACAATCTCAAACATGATAGAATGATATTGATATGAATCAAAGGCAGACCTTTTAACATCACAGTAATCCAAGTTTATACACCAACTACCGGTGCTGAAGAAACTGAAATTGACCAATTCTATGAAGACTTACAACACCTTCTAGAAATGACACCAAAGAAGGATGTTCTTCTCATTATAGGGGATTGGAATGCTAAAGTAGGGAGTCAAGAGATAAAAGGAAGAACTGGCAAGTTTGGCCTTGGAGTTCAAAACGAAGCAGGGCAAAGGCTAATAGAGTTCTGTCAAGAGAACAAGCTGGTCATCACAAACACTCTTTTCCAACAACACAAGAGACATCACATGGACATCACCAGATGGGCAGCATCAAAATCAGATTGATTATATTCTCTGCAGCCAAAGATGGAGAAGCTCTATACAGTCAGCAAAAACAAGACCTGGAGCAGACTGTGGCTCAGATCATCAGCTTCTTATAGCAAAATTCAAGCTTAAACTGAAAAAAGTAAGAAAAACCACGGGGCCAGTAAGATACAATCTAAATCAAATCCCTTATGAATACACAGTGGAAGTGAGGAACAGCTTTAAGGATTTAGATTTGGTGGACAGAGTGCCTGAAGAACTATGGATGGAGGCTCGCAACTTTATACAGGAGGCAGCAATGAAAACCATCCCAATGAAAAGGAAATGCAAGAAAGCAAAGTGGCTGTCCAACGAGGCCTTACAAATAGCGGGGGAGAGAAGGCAAGCAAAATGCGAGGGAGATAGTGAAGGATACAGGAAACTGAATGCAGATTTCCAAAAAATAGCAAGGAGAGACAAGAGGGCCTTCTTAAACGAGCAATGCAAAGAAATAGAGGAAAACAATAGAATGGTAAAAACCAGAGATCTGTTCAAGAAAATTGGAGATATGAAAGGAACATTTTGTACAAAGATTACCATAATAAAGGACAAAAGTGATAAGGACCTAACAGAAGCACAAGACATCAAGAAGAGGTGGCAAGAATACACAGAAGAATTATACCAGAAAGATATGGATGTCTCATACACCCCAGGCAGTCTGGTTGCTGACCTTGAGCCAGACATCCTGGAGAGTGAAGTCAAATGGGCCTTAGAAAGGACTGCTAATAACAAGACCAGTGGAAGTGATGATATTCCAGCTGAACTACTTAAAAATTTAAAAGATGATGCCGTTAAGGTGCTACACTCAATACGCTGGAAAACTCAGCAGTGGCCAGAGGACTGGAGAAGATCAGTCTACATCCCAATCCCAAAGAAGGGCAGTGCCAAAGAATGCTCCAACTACCGCACAATTGCACTCATTTCACACATTAGCAAGGTTATGCTTAAAATTCTACAAGACAGGCTTAAGCAGTATGTGGACCGAGAACTCCCAGAAGTGCAAGCTGGATTTCGAAGGGGCAGAGGAACCAGAGACCAAATTGCAAACATATGCTGGATTATGGAGAAAGCTAGAGAGTTCCAGAAATAACCTGTACATTAAAATAAACAGAGGTGTAAGTAGACACATTTAGCAATGCAGTGTATTTTAAATATATGAACTATTTTATTGTATGCTGCTTCAGTGACATTTTCGGAGGGGGGCGAATCTTGCCCAATAAACTTCAGTAAAATTCAGGACAAGCAGCGACTAAATGCGTTTCATTCTAAGGAACAACAAGTGAAAATTCCTCACATCTTTTCAAAAATATTTTTCCTAAACAGAAAGACTACAGCTAAAGATGAAATAGTTGTACATATGTTCGTTCAAAAAAAATACCATTAACATTTGTGGAACATAGTTACTGATAAAAGCAACAGGTGGTCTTAAAAACCAACACATTATTATAACGTTATTACTATTGCCAGTCAACTTTCTGCAGAATCACCAGAATTTACTGAAGCTCTCTTGGGTGGGGGTTTTGATGCCACTTTATTTCTTCTTAGTTTCCTTTTTAAGAAGTTCCATATCTCAATTTCAAATACATACAGAATAAATGCCACAAAAATAATGCCTCCCATTAAAATAGTCGTCATTGAAGTGATAAGAGAGTTTCCTGGGAATGCCAGTGGAGAATCGTCAACATAAATCTGCAACAGAAAATATTGTAATTCCAACAGTCATTTCCCTTTAAATTGACTATTGCTCACCCTGTTGACAACAAGAAAGTGAAACTGGTCTAAGTGATAGCGAAAGCTGGCATATGCAAATCTAAGTGGTGGGGGAAGAGAAGCAGTCATCTGAGTTTATAGGGAAATCAATTTGGTAAGCATTGCATGCGGTTTGTTGCAAGATACTGTATTATTATTGTACCTCGTAAAATAAAATACCCAGAAAAGTATGGGCTAAGAAAGTATGGCTCTCTGTGTTAAGCATAGGTTTTTCCTTGTATTCTCAGACAATCAGTTCTATGAGGGAAGGCTCACAGTTCAGTGGTAAAGCACGTTTTGCTTACAAAAGGTCAAAGGTTCAGTTCCTACTACTATTTCTACTTCAGAAAGGTTTGGGGCAGCATGGCTAGGAAGGAACTCTCCCTGAAATATTGGAGAGGTGCTGCCAGCCAGAGCAGACTAATCTTCCCAGACATTTGGGACTCCCATCCCCATTAGCCCTTTGCAGTCCAAAATCACCTGGAAGGCATTAAATTGGAAAGGCTGGAGCAGAAAGTTAACCTGGCCCAAATTATCCAAGTGACTCTATTAGCTCTTGTTTGAGATGGCAGCCTTTCCATGGTCATATGTTTGGCACTGGCAGGCCTGCCAAGAGGGCAGGGGGCATATTGCTGTGCCAGAGCCAGCACATGGCCTAAACTCTGAACTTTAATTAACCCCCACCCCCACTCCCCACAATTGTGTTTCTAGCGCTTGTACAACAGAAGTGACAAAGCAAAATCTTCAGGCACCATTCAAAGCCTTTGTGAGCTAAGAGGCTACTCCTGCCTTGCAGTGTTCTTAGTCAATGACTGAAGTCACAGTTGTGCTATTTAAATATCTGCTGGGCTTCTGTCACTAAAGAGTACTTGCCTCAGTTCTGGGCCTTGGCATCCAGAAAATCATTCATATATACAGGGTGAGTCCTTTAAAAGAGGCCCTGTGGATACAGAGTACAGTGGTGCCTCGCAAGACGAAATTAATCCGTTCCGCGAGTGTCTTCGTCTAGCGGTTTTTTCGTCTTGCGAAGCAACCCTATTAGCGGCTTAGCGGATTAGCGCTATTAGCGGTTTAGCGGCTAAAAGGCTATTAGCGGCTTAGCGGCTTAGAAAAAGGGGGGGAAGCGAAAAAAAATCTCAAGACTCGCAAGACATTTTCGTCTTGCGAAGCAAGCCCATAGGGAAATTCGTCCTGCGAAGCAACTCAAAAACGGAAAACCCTTTCGTCTAGCGGGTTTTCCGTCTTGCGAGGCATTCGTCTTGTGGGGCACCACTGTACACATGTTCCACGGGGCCTCTTTTAAAAGACACACCCTGTATGAAGCTATATATATATGTAAAAACTCCAGTCTGCTTTAGCTTCCACTTCTGTGTGTTTCCCCAAAGTGTCCTTCTCCAGTCCAGTCCCCCTTGCACCCGCTAATTCCTGCTGTTCTCTGGGAATGTGCTGAAGTAAGGGCTAAATATGTGGGAACACTTTGTACAATCTTGTATCCTATTTTATGTTTGTTAATTCATTCTGTGTGTAATTTGTGTGTTGTTGTTTTTAAAAAAGAGCTAATGACAATACCTGAAATTCGTCAAATAAGTTACAAAAGGAGACTCCAGGAATAGTTGATACCCTGAAATGGAAAAGCTCAGATCCCTGTTGGAAAGGGGGGGGAAAGTTGTTACTAATATGCAGTAACATTTGTTTTCATTTTTTAAATTAAAACTGTAATCCTTGGCTATTAATGTGATCTGGTTGCTGAAAAAAAATAAGTGTTTTGTATGACCTGAACAGAAATATAGATATGGCTGGCTGAACTGCAATGTGGCACATGGTGCAATATTGCCTCAATATTGCTGCTCCATTTTTTAAAAAACCGATTCTCTTAAATGTCATAAACTATAACCGAAATATAAAGTGTTCATGTTCACTTGAAATGTTTCACATAAATAATGTGCAGTACCACGTAGAACAGACAGGAGCTGCTTGTTGAGAAAAACATCTTACATGCACACAATTGTGTGTATAACTACACCATAAAAATCAGTGTTGCTAGCAACTGTGTTATATCCTTGGAACAGAAAATTTCTGATAGTTTGAATTAATATGCAAATTAAAAAGGTAAAGGTACCCCTGACCGTTAGGTCCAGTCGCGGACGACTCTGGGGTTGTGGCGCTCATCTCGCTCCATAGGCCAAGGGAGCCGGCATTTGTCCACAGACAGCTTCCGGATCATGTGGCCAGCATAACTAAGCCACTTCTGGCAAACCAGAGCAGTACACGGAAATGCCGTTTACCTTCCCGCCAGAGCGATACCTGTTTACTTTGATGTGCTTTCAAACTGCTAGGTTGGCAGGAGCAGGTACCAAACAACGGGAGCTCACCCCCGTTGTGGGGATTCGAACCGCTGACCTTCTGATCTGCAAGCCCTAGACTCAGTGGTTTAGACCACAGCAGCACAATGTCAAATGTATATTGCACAATGGCCCAACATGTGGTCCAAGGGCTGCATGTGGACCTCAAGGCTTTTTTCCCCACCCCTCAGCAACATCTGATGCCCCCTCCCCAACCCTCGTGCTGCCTTCTTTAAGTTGGGTAAGTGCTGGGAAGGAGCTGTGAGGGCTGACAGGATCCTAGAGCCCTCCTGTCTCCTTTCCAAGGCCTGATACCTTTATTACCCAGCTTTGGGAAGGCAGCACAGGGGTGGGGATGGGGCATGCATCAATTTTAGGCCTTGTTCCACCACACCACACCACCTGCCCTCATGACTAGGCTTTGTGTGACCCGCAGGTTCGGTGTCGAGGTACACAGACAAGTCAGCATGGCACCAACATTCCTCTGATGAAAATCAGGACATATCTTTTGGTGCCATGCTAACTTGTGCGAAAGCGCAGCATCCTCCTCCCCAGGGTCAGCAGTGACGCTGGAGGGGGTAAATGGGACATTCTAGGATCAAATCAAATCAAGAATTGATGCTTTTGAATTATGGTGCTGGAGGAGACTCTTGAGAGTCCCATGGACTGCAAGAAGATCAAACGCATACATTCTAAAGGAAATTAGCCCTGAGTGCTCACTGGAAGGTCAGATCGTGAAGCTGAGGCTCCAATACTTTGGCCACCTCATGAGAAGAGAAGACTCCCTGGAAAAGACCCTGATGTTGGGAAAGATTGAGGGCACAAGGAGAAGGGGACGACAGAGGACAAGATGGTTGCACAGTGTTCTCGAAGCTACAAACATGAGTCTGAGCAAACTGCGGGAGGCAGTGGAAGACGGGAGGGCCTGGCGTGCTCTGGTCCATGGGGTCACGAAGAGTCGGACATGACTAAACGACTAAACAACAAAAGGATCAAATCAGAAGCTGGGATGGCTTCTTCAAATTCTGGGATGATGCAGGAATATTGGGGCACTTTGAAAGGGTTTGAGTACTCTTGTGACCCACTTTGTTTGCAAAGTTGGACCACCCAGGTACAAAGAGTTTAAGGTAAGAAGAGTTGGGGTTTAAGGTACAGTGGTACCTCTGGTTACGAACTTAATTCATTCCAGAGGTCTGCTCTTAACCTGAAACCATTCTCAACCTGAGGTACCACTTTAGCTAATGGGGTCTCCCACTGCCGCTGTGCCGCCAGCGTGCAATTTCTGTTCTCATCCTGAGGTAAAGTTCTTAACCCGCGGTACTACTTCCAGGTTAGTGGAGTCTATAACCCAAAGTGTTTGTAACCCGAAGTGTTTGTAACCCAAGGTGTTTGTAACCCGAGGTAGCACTGTATGTATTTTCTCTGGCACTTACAGTTATCGTTATAGATAGGCCATCTGGATTATATAGTTCAGTTTTGAGTCTGTGCTCCAAATATTTTTTCATTTTTAACATACTTGATGTTTGATTGGTACCTGAAAAAACAGTTAAAACAGTCGCAGAGTGGTAGATTTGAGTTTCTTCCTTCTTTTTTACATTTCAGTAGGGCCTGAATACAGATGAATAGACAGATCTATTTCTCATGAAATGTAAAAGTAAGAAAGGTATCAGAGGCACAGCATGATGTATTAGAGCTGCACAGGGTCTTCTACAGCAGTTTTCCAGAGGTTAACAAACAGCAGTGCTTTTTTTCTAAAAAAAAGTTTAGGGGTACTCTCATTTTTCTACTCATATTGAAATACTGCCCTTCAATAAGGCCAAACTTAGATTCACAAAATGTTTAGGGTTATGCGTACCCCTGCATCCCCCCAGAAAAAAGCACTAACAGTGATTACCGGTAATTATCACGAGTGGGTGAAAAAGGAGGGGTGTGGGCAAACATTAATATGAAATGTTGGTTAACCTGAACTCCTCTTTGTTATAGCCGAAGTGCCACCATAACTATTAATCATGGTAAAAGCTAGCAGGAGAACTAGAGGAGGAAGAACAGCTAGGGGGAGGGGTGTACCCATGGTAAACCAATGGGTTGTGTTATGCTTGTTTCAGGCCTTAAGGGTCTGTGGGTGTAATAGGTTTTGCATGCAGAAAGAATTGGACTAGATTCAAATCTTTCCACATCAAGTCTTCCCTGAACTAGAACTTGCAACAGCCCCAGCAGGCATGGCCAATGGATAGGGATGATGGGAATTCAGCAACATACAGGGGACCAAAGGTTCCTCACATCTACTATAGGGCAAGAAAGAGAGCCTGAAAATATATTGACAACAAGTATTTCCAACAGAACCTCTCCGATACGAAAGATAATGATGAATCCCAAGATTCTTCCGCTCCCTACCTGAAACTTTCCAGTTGGTTCTGTTGTTGACTTCTATGATTGTGATAAAATAAGGAGATGTCAGATTTACAGAGCGACCCTCATCCTCAATGGTGAAATAGAGAGGAAGCCTTGATACTGGGAATTTCATTCGCAGGGCCTGGCAATGAAACATATATAGAAATCACTGACATTAAAATGATGCCTGCATGGAAAGACATGGAATGACACAAATGTAAGTATTTACATAATCTGGTTTAGTTCTGCTAAATAGGAAGTCTGACTTACAAATTGGTAATGAGCTGAATGAAAGCCAATGGACTGAAAATCAGTCCCAGAAGGTCTGAGATTCTGTGGGTAGGTGGCACATCTGTTAAATCTGTTATGCATAAGGTTGCACTCCTTCTAAAGTAGCGTTTCACAAGCTGGTAAGGAAGCAGCCCAGCAGGGCCTAACGTTCCTTTTTGCCACGTGTGTTTTCTTGGAGCAGTCCTGGTTTGTTTCCAGAAAGAGAGGGCAATCGCTGAGGCTCCCGTTTTGACCAGTAGAGCCCGCAGTCCAGAACTCCCAGGTCAGCTAAGTGCGGTGGTGGGGTGGCAATGGGTAGGGCTGGGCGAGCCAGAGTTGCTTGTTGTTGCTGACAGGTCTGGGTTCGGTGGCAGCCTGGCCTGACTCTGCAAGGTGCAGGGTGCAATCCACCTCAGCGCTTAGTGGATCAGGGCCATCAGGTGTTACCAATGAGCGTAGGGCCCGTCGGCAGCGTTGTACCGGCTCTGCATGGATTTTAATTTATTTTTACTTATGGGAAGACAGCTGTCCAGAACCTGTCCCATTAAACTTTAATTAGCTTAATGCTAGTCAAATGTCCAGTGCGCTTCCGATGCGACAATGTCCCATTACAGCAGAGCATTTCGCACAGCGGCTCAAGAAGGGCTGGAGAGTCAGCATCTTTTCAATAAAGGGATCTTGGAGCAAGCGGTTTGGAACTCAAATAAAAGGTTTATTTACACAAAACAAAAAACCCTGGTGAAGAACCACACATTTCAGCAAACACGCCCCAAAAGAAAGGGGAAGGGGGGGCAAACACACGAGTGAGCTGACTATTTATACAAACTCACATTCCTGGAAGCTTAACGACCTCCAGCTGCTCAGTGAATAGAGCGTCTTGATTAGAGCTTCTTAACCCTTTAATACCAACACCCCCTCTCGCTCGTAACACTGAGCTGTACCAACCTTAATTCAAATTTAAACCTGAACAGAAACATTTATGAGATTGCGGACTCAAAGCTTTTGTAAAACCGTCTGCGAGATTTTCTTGGCTTGGACAATACTTTAGTTCAATTAAACCTTGTTTTACACTTTGGCATACATTTTGATAACGGATATCCAAGTGTTTTGTGTGTGCCTTGAATTGACCTGATTTAGCTAGTTTAATACAAGGTTGATTGTCTTCCCACACTCTGATAGGTAGGGAACATTCTCCAAACAATTCTTGTACCAGTTGCTTATAAAATTCCAGTTCTCTACATACATCTGATAATGCATTGAACTCAGATTCAGTTGAACTTAAAGCTATAAGTGATTGTTTTCTTGATCTCCAACCAATTAGTGCATTTCCAAATTTTATCGCCATTCCTGATACTGATTTTCTATCTGGTCCAGCATCTGCCCAACTGCTGTCGGCCCAACATTCAAGTTGTGTGCTGCCCTCTGCTGATAGTTTTAAGCGAAACCTTTTGGTAGTTTGGAGATACCTTAAAACTCTTTTTACTCCTTGCCAAGCATGCATTGATGGTTTTTCAGCTTGTCTACACAGCATGTTGACAGCATATGTTATATCGGGCCGAGTCCACTGTGCAATGTGGAGTAGACTGCCTATCGCTGACTGGTAATCCCGGGATTACAGACCTCTGCCTGTTGCTCAGTTTGAGCATCCTTTGTGTAACTTAACTCCATTGGGGTTTTAACACCAGCACAGTTGTCCATTTTAAACCTTTCCAGCAACTGCTGGATCTTAGCTTCTTGGCTGAGCCAATAGTTCCCATCTTCATCTTGCTGAATTTTAACTCCTAGATAAACAGATACATTGCCTAGTGATTTTATCTGAAACTTTTCTCCAAGCTTTGTGGCAAATTGTTGTGCAAGTTTATCGTCCTTTCCACTGTATAATAAATCGTCAACAAATATCAAGACTGCTTCTTGTTCACATCCCGAGCCTTTTAGATAAAGACACGCATCTGCTGCGCTCTTTCTGAACCCCATGCTCTCTAGAGCATCGTTTAAGCAGGAATTCCAATTACGGGCGGACTGTTTCAACCCATAAATGGATTTGTGTAGGCGCCAGACCTGGTTTGGCTTGTCTCCTTCAAAACCTGGTGGTGGCGTCATATAGACTTCCTCCTGTAAGTCTGCATTTAAATAAGCCACATTGACATCAAAATGAAACAGCTTATTTCCTTCTTAGCTGAAGAGGCTAAAAGCATTCTTAATGACTCCGATCTTGAAGTAGGGGCATAGATTTGAGAATAGTGAACTCCTTTGCGCTGCGAAAACCCTTTTGCAACTAGTCGGGCTTTATATTGCAACTCCTCAGTAGTTGTGGGCTTTAAACGATATACCCATCGACAACCTACAGCTTGTTGCCCTTTCGGAAGCTCTGTACTTGTAAACACACCAAGAGACTTCATTGAAGCCATCTCTTTTTCCATTGCTTCCTGCCATTTTACGGCTTCTGAGCTTGGAAGCTGTTGTACCTCTATATAGCTATCTGGCTCACACTGTGCCATATTTACGTATACACTTGTCACCTTAAACCGCTCTGGCGGCTTGCCCTTTGTGGCACGTTTTGACCTGCGCAATTGTTCCTCTTGTGCCCCCTCTGACTGTTGGCTGTCAGAATCTGTCTCAGACTTTATGTCTGGACGTGCCTCTAGGGATAAAGACCTCCGTTTAGATACCTCCCTTGGGCTTGGTGTTGCAGGCGACCTGCTTCGCTTTTGCTGTCTGCTAGGCCTACTGACTGGCGATGTTGGAACACTCTTAGATTCTGGCTTTTCTACCTTAGGAGAAGAACCTTGTGCCTGGTCAGAATCTGCATCTGAACCATGTGCACCGTCCCCTTCTGGCTCATCACCCTCTGGACTTTCTTTCTCAGCATAAATGCCTAAATCATCTCTCAAAATGTCAGGGTTAGCATGTAAGTGAGTCCATCCGGATTGCTCACAAAATTCAGCGCTCCTACTGAGGACCACTCTTGTAGTATCCCCATCTGGGTTCACGAACCTCCAAGATTTGGCGTGTGGTTCGTACCCACAAAAGATGAGTTTCCTAGCCCTTGGACTTCCCTTTTCCTTAACGCTTTTGGGATAAGTACATAGGCTTGAGATCCAAACACCCGAAAGTAATTAACTTTGGGCTTCTTCCCATATAAAGCAAAATATGGCGTAGTATCAATTACCGAATTATATACTCGGTTCAGAACATGAGTAGCCGTCTGCCAGGCTTCCGCCCAGTAACTTTGAGGAAGTTTAGCATCAAACAACATAGAGTTTGCCAACTCTTGCAGAACCCTGTTTTTACGTTCGGCCACACCTCCTTCTTGGGGGGAATAAGGTGTAGACAGACGATGCTTAATTCCCTTTTCTTAAAGAAATTCTGCAACACAGACCCGGTAAATTCTGACCCTCTGTCTGTCTGAAAAGCAAGAACTCTAGTACCAAATTCAAGTTCTACTGCATGAACCCAATTTTTAACTGTTTCTGCAGTATCTGCTTTTGTTTTGAGAGGAAAAAACCATGTAACCTTTGTTTTGTCATCTGAGAGACACAGTGCATACCTCGAACCTCCCATGCTAGCAACAGGCATTGGGCCACATAGGTCCATATGCACAAGTTGGAATACTTTGTCAGATTTCCTATTTGAACTGGGATAGCTGCATCTATGAACCTTCGCCCTTTTGCATGCAGTACAATCCAAATACTTAGTACATTTGTTCAATTTGCACCCTTCTGATAACTCAGGTTGCCTTTTAACATACTGAAAATTAATATGTCCCAAACGGCGGTGCCATAAATGAACACAAGAATTATGGGTAGGCGAGTTCACACAACCAGCATGAACCTGTTCAACTTCATCTGGACTTGTCTCAAAATAATATAACCCATCTCTGCATTCCACCTGCAAAAGAGATGCGTTATTCTTTGAAATAGTGCAAACCCCATTTTCAAACACAGTTTTAAACCCATTTCTATCAAGTTCTGACACAGACAAAATACACCCCTTCATTCCCTTTAGCACGTAGGCATCAATTTCTGTTTGCAAACACTTCAAAAACACTGTGCCTACGGTCTCTAAGGAACGTTTAGTTGAATCTGCCATTGTCACAACTTTAAGGGTTTGCAAATGTCTGCAATTCTGCAAACGGACACTAGATGGCGCCACCAGGTGGTGAGATGCACCACTGTCGATCAACCAGCGTAGATTGCTGCCTTGGCCACGCCCTTGCATCAACGCCATTGCTGAAGCCATGTGCTGTGTGCTGTGGGAGTAGCCACGACCTCCTCCTCTTCTTCGACGTCCCCTGGAACTCCTTGTCTGGTAACTAGGGGTAACGGCCTTGGTGCTGTCTTGACCAGGTTCACGTGTACAATTCCTGATTAAATGGGAAGAGGAACCACAGCGAAAACAGTGTCTAGCTGCAAAAGCATTTACTGTGTGGTCAAACTCAGCATCCCCACTCTTAGGCACAGCATAACTCCCCTTTGAAGACAAACCTCTTTCTCTTTGCCTTTTATCCTGTTCATCTGCAAGTCGAGAAGAAATGTATTCAAGGGTTAATTCAGTTGAAGGCATAGCTTCCAAAGTTAAAGCTAGAGTCTCATAGCTTTTATCAAGAGAAGACAACAAAATGTATGACTGCTGCTCCATAGAGAAAGGAATGCCCAGCTGTCTTAGTTGATTAAAGGCAGACACCATTTTGGCAATATGTTCTTTCACACACGCTCCCGGTTGGAGACGTAAATCAAACAAACATCTTGTAGCATGGATCTTGGCCCCCGCAGTGTTTCTGGAATTGAGCCGCTGCAGAACCGTCCAGACCTCATGCGTGTTCTTTAACTCAGAAACATAAGGCATTTGCTCTGGTCCCACTGCCAAAACTAGTAGACCTTGGGCTTTCCTGTCGCGTTTCTGTGAAGCTGCCGCTGCTGCTTTGTCTTCTGCAGACGCGTCTGCAGCTGCCTGTAAAGGCGGTGCTTCAGTACAACTCCACAACTCTTTTGCTTGCAACCAAACCCTTACTCTAGCCTTCCAATCTTGCCAATTTTTCCCATTGAGTCGCGTAAATGGGACAGTAAAACTTTCCTGGGACTCTGCCATCCTCCCTGGGGCTTAGGAACGATACTCACAGACCTGTAGACCGTCTCCCAGCTGCTGAGGTGGCCCCTCGAGGAATAAGACGTCTTCCAGCGAGTACAAACTGCGCAGTGCCTCTTTAAAACTTTTCCTAGGCACGTTGCAGGACTCAAGCTGCTTTGAAGGCTTTCGTTGTCGGCAACCGCTTCTGTCTTCGCTCCAGTCCTTTCATAAATCACTCTGAACTGCACTCCTTATCTCCTTCTTGACGTACAAACACCATAACCTGTCCAGAACCTGTCCCATTAAACTTTAATTAGCTTAATGCTAATCAAATGTCCAGTGCGCTTCCGATGCGACAATGTGCCATTACAGCAGAGCATTTCGCACAGCGGCTCAAGAAGGGCTGGAGAGTCAGCATCTTTTCAATAAAGGGATCTTGGAGCAAGCGGTTTGGAACTCAAATAAAAGGTTTATTTACACAAAACAAAAAACCCTGGTGAAGAACCACACATTTCAGCAAACACGCCCCCAAAATAAAGGGAAGGGGGGCAAACACACGAGTGAGCTGACTATTTATACAAACTCACATTCCTGGAAGCTTAACGACCTCCAGCTGCTCAGTGAATAGAGCGTCTTGATTAGAGCTTCTTAACCCTTTAATACCAACAACAGCTGCCCCCTTGCCCCCCTCTTGGCTACGTCCATGTGGGGTGGGCTAAAGGAAGAACACAAGGTCAGAAGAGGGCCATGGTTGGGAAAAGGTTGGGAAACACTGCTCTAAAGGATCAAATTCTTAGATTGAGCACACTCCTAAATATAGCTTTATCAATGGAGAACCAGATAAGCCTTTGTAGGAAGGAATGTCTTTCACATTAATTTAGGCTGGTGTGAGCTGCAGCTTCTTCTGGAAAGCGATAGCCTGGCCACAGTTATCTGGAAACAAGGATTGACTACTGGGGGCTATTGCATCTGGGACTACCTTTGGAGACTGCTCAGAAATTGCAGTTACTGCAGTTACTGACTAACGCACGCACCGCCCCCATACGACGTCACAGCCTGTACAGCGCCCGCCACAGTGGGGAGTGTCGGGGCGCACAATGCGCCTCCTCCCCTCGCTAGTATCCACCCCGGAGCCGCAGCAAAGGTGTAAAAGAGCCACATGCGGCTCCGGAGCTGCGGGTTGCAGACCCCTGGCATAGCCCTTACCTTCTCCTTGCAATCAGAAAAGGCAACAGAAAAGGACAGCTTCATATTTTCTGTACATCCACATTCGGAGCGGTTTGACTTGCCAGCACATTGCTTGTACCGTCCAGAATTCTGTTGGAAAAGTAAGGGACCCCTGACTGTTAGGTCCAGTCACGGACGACTCTGGGGTTGTGGCGCTCATCTCGCTTTACTGGCCGAGTGAGCCAGGGTTTGTCTGCAGACAGCTTCCGGGTCATGAGGCCAGAATGACAAAGCCACTTCTGGCGAACCAGAGCAGCACACAGAAACGCTGTTTACCTTCCCGCTGCTTGCACTTGATGTGCTTTCGAACTGCTAGGTGGGCAGGAGCTGGGACCGAACAATGGGAGCTCACCCTGTTGTGGGGATTTGAACCGCAGACCTTCTGACCGGCAAGCCCTGGGCTTTGTGGTTTAGACCACAGTGCCACCCGTGTCCCAAAGAAGGTATAATCAAGGCAATTCTCGACTGTGCTTACAAAGTAGACCAGCATATGCAATGGAAATCATTTGACCTCTGAATCAGTCTATAGTTTTTCAACTATCAGTGGACTGGAGAGCCCTGCGTGTTCAAATTTGGTGGAAAAGGGTTGTCAGAAAGAAAGGGAGAGTCAGGGCAAAGAGAACTATGCAATAACTCTTGTTCCTTAGTGAACAGGAAGCATGATATGCAGTTGGGTTGAAGAGAAGCATTCTCTTGAGCAAGAGACAAATGAGCTGAATGGACATTGGGGCTCTTGGATGACAGCAAATGATTTTGCAGATGAAGTCCTCTGCCTGTTTCTCAGCCTTTCCCTTTTTCTTCTCTACACTCTCCGTATTCTTAAGCAGCCTTGATACTGTTGACTTTGAGAGTCTTTAATGAGATGTAAAACATCAATATCTTGAATATATGGAATAGTGCAAAATGAGCTATGCATGCAATCCTCTACTGCCTCTTGTTGATAGAACAGGAAAACATGGAGGATTGTAAAACGGGGTGAGACAGTAGAGTTCACCTAGGGCAAAAAAAGAAAATGCTCATATTGGCTGCTCTGGGTGCTTCAAATTGTTCCCATTGCTCCTAAAGTATATTTACCTTGAGTGTGTGGAAAGTAGTTGGGCAATTGTGTCAACATATGTTCTGATCCTATCTATCCTATTACTGCAAAGGTTTGGCAAGTGATATGAGGTGGCCATGAGGTGGCCATAAAGTTAAAACATAAGGATTCGAGCCCAAGTTTTCAGGTTATTTTTCTCAGAATAATATGCAAAAACCAGCTATTTATAGTGGGAAGAAGACAGATGTTGAGTCTATAGTATGTGCAATCAGGATGCCTAAGTTCTGGGGCAAACTCTATAGAAATGCTCATCTGGAAGTTGAATTTCAAGATTCTCCTCTTAATTAGAAATCTCTTTTCTTAATGCGTGTATATGTATGTAAAGAACATGCAACAGCACGGAGTGCAAAATGGATAGCAATTTTTTAAAACGTGCATTCTCAAAGCTCTTACAGGAGTAGCTATGAAGACTTACTTTTGAATTTGTGAAATAATCCCTCAGTTTAGGTTTGCTGGGGTCAGCATTATAGAAGTTTTCTGTGAGTGGAACAGCAATTCCCAAAACAGATGGTGGCCTGTAGTTCACCTGTACGAAAAACAACACATTTTAATGGGGAAAATTTATTGATTATTTGAAGAATTTTTGCAAACAACTTAAATCGTTAGCGGGACTGACATAAAAACGTGCAGTGAAAATCATTTAAATAAAATACAAAGGATAAATAGTAAATAGATATGAATTGGCTATGCAGTGATAAAAGATAAAACATAAGTAAGCACAGAAAGGGTCAATGATTTTATGTTTTCTAATTGGTTGTATAAATTTATTTGTGTGATAATCTTTGTAAATGAAAAAAGTGGGAAATTATATGATGAAAAATAAGACTGGTTTCCCCTTTGTGTCATCTCCCCAACCCTGTATTCATACAATTATTACCAGCAGCACAGATTTCTTTCTTTAAAAAAAAAAAAATTATTAAGGCTTTATTAATACAGATAAAAGAACAAATTTAAAAAGCAAACTAATCTAAATGAAAACAGAAAGAGAAAGAGAGAGAAATGCAATCTTCTCTCAAAGGTAGATCTCAAGCCGTGTCTCACACATAAGGGGGTGGTTCTTCCCAGATCTCACCTGGGAGCTTCCCTTCTTCCAGCCTCCCACCCTGGGAGACCTTCCCTTCCCTGCCTCTCACACAGGGTCCTTCACCAGCCAGCCCTCACCTTCATGTGCATACACCCCCTCATTGAGCCAGAGCAGAGGACATAAAAACAACGCCACCAAAAGCAGGACCAAAGGAAGGCAGGAAAAAAACATGAAGATGAAAATAATAAAAGAGTGGGAAAAGAAAAGAAAGGGGAAAAAGGAAATAAAAGGGCTTCTGATTCAAATATCCTGAGAAGAGCTCTGAAGCCCAGACGTAATGAAGGGACGCAGAGGGCATAGCACTGCACGTATTGGAAACTCCCCGATGCAGTCGCCATGAGCGGAGGTATCTCTGTTTCTTTCAAGATGTATCTGAATTTTGGACTTAAGAAACATACGTGTTTTGGAAGAAAGAGAATGGTAACCTGCGAAATGAATCAGCCACTGAGTGCCAAGGTTTTGATCTGGAGATGACTAAGATCGGAATTGGTGCAGGATCAAGGAATAACATCAACTCCTGATATCCAGAACACGGGAAGTCATCCAAAAATGTTTAATTCGGAACTGTTCAGTTGGCTCTTTTGATTGTATTGTGATTTGGCATGATTTGGCATCGAATTAATGTGGCCTCCATAGGATTGTTATTAATGAAACATTTAAAAATTGATTTTTTAAAAAAAGACAGTTGGAAATGTTGACCCTGCCTTCTATCAGAAGAAAAGTTAGCTTTTACTTGTCTGCTTCACTGACACAGATGCCAGAGAGTGTAGTGACGTCCTCAGCATTGCTCTCTGTTTCATGGGCCACACTTAAATCCATCCAACTCAGGAGTCTTGTGCCTAGGTATGGCTTTGGAAAAATGTATCCCGGGGCTTCATAGAACAATGGGTACATCTGTGCCCTTCCCTGTTCAGAACATTTAAGAAAGGGTACGAAAGAATTCTAAACTAAAATGTAGGATTTAGGATCCTTACCGGTAGCTGCTTTAAAAGTCTGGCAATCGCTGAGCCATTTGGCTCAGCGCTGACATCCTCAACTAGCCAGTCTGAAGGAGAGGTTTTAGCAGATAGAACATAGTGCATTGATTTAAGATAGGAGCAGGAATTCTTCAGCGTTAAGACAAGAGTTGTCACTTCACATCGGAGAGATCCCAATCCGATAACAGCTATGGTGGTTTTACCCTAGGGATGTTTATGAGAAAGCATAACATTAATTGGTCTCCAACATAGATGAATATAATTAGCTTCCCATCATACGATGGATCTACACACAGGGGGAAACCCACTATAAATAAGTCAGAAATTAAATCGTTATAACAAAAGAAAACAAACACTATGGAAAATCGCAAAGAATTTTGTTTGTTTTTTCTCCAGCACCATCTGGTGTTGCATGTTTAGAACGCACTCAAAGAGCAGGGGTTGGCAAACTAAGGCCTGTGGGTCGGATAAGGCCCAAGGGGCTCTTTAATCCAGCCCAAGGACTCTGCTGCCCACTCAGTCAGTCCCCGTGCTAAACTGATATCTCACCACGCGGGGACTGACTTCCATGATGGGCGTGTGGGTGGCTGTGGATCGGCTTCAGGAAGCTCCCGCAGCCAATTCTAAGCCGCAGACGCCTCTGGGCAGGCAGCAACGCTGGCCACTTCAAAGCCGTGCCAGGTTTCCTCAGCTCGTGGGCGGTGAGGCTTCGGATTGGCCAGCGAGGCAGCCATGGACAGAGAGGCCCATGGGCGCATCGCAGGGCTTCGGCCGGAGCTTGGCATGCCTGCTGGCCCTGTGCCTGGCACCCGGGAAAGCTCTTCCAGAAGCGAGAGCTGCCGCCACAGCTGCCGGCTCCCAACCACCGCCAGAGGAGGTAGGAAATCGGGGAGGGAGGGGCTGGGGGAGAGAGAGAAGCCCCCTCTGCTGGTGTGTGTGTGTGTGTGGTCCAGCCTGCCAGAAGATTTAAGGGACAGTGAGCCGGCCCGCTGGTAGAAAAGTTTCCTGACCCCTGCCATAGAGCCTTATCCATGCAAGCATGGCTGTTGACGTAAGGCATTTGCATTCATTTCGCCAGCACAGCATGTGTGCATTGTGCGTACTAGAAGAAATCCAAATTCTGTCTTCCATTGGAATAGTTTTAAGAATTATCATATGACAAATGTTACTCAAACAGGAATAATAAAAATTATTAATCTAATACTCCAAAACAAACGTATGACAACAATATATCCATATAAAGACAAGGGTCACACATCAGGTAAAGATAGCTGGGACTGGGCCCCATTCACAACAATAGACCTACAGTACAACCATGTCATACATGCATTTAACTTGCCTGATTTCAACCATACGCAGTTGAAGTCTGGCTGGTTGAAATCTTGCAAGTTGAATAAGGAGCTGGCAGGAGGCGAGCACCTTGCTTGAGAAGCAAGGCAGAGAGCTTAAAGCTATTTTTTGCACCAGGAAAATCTGATGCAAAAAAGAACTTTTAAGCTATCTCTGCCATGCTTTGCCTATCTGCATGACGGGTCTGGGGTGCTCCTGGGAGATTTTAAGAGAACTTGGAGGGACCTGTGAGATCTCGCAAGAGCACTTCAGGGCTTCTGGAGTCCCAGGATGCTCATGAAGGGGTCCAGTTCCAATGATTTGAGTACACACATTTTTGCAGATATGCAGACTGCTTTGAACGGAATGCCTGTGTAAGATACAATTGCACTGTAGTCATTAATAACTTGCATCCCATTGCTTTCAGTAAACCTTGTAGTGTAGTCTTATACCATATAGCTGTGTCTGTGCTAAACTGGTGCCTGAAGGTGATTAGGGGTAGGGTGAGGGCTATTAAAAGGAGTGTAAGACTATGAGTGGCTGGTTTTTGTATCAGTGTTGTGTTCCCCCCAAAGGCTGCCAATTAGTGCTGCTTTGACCTATGAAGCCTTAAACGGCTCAGGAGTATAATACCTCAAGGACCGCCTCGCCCTATAAAAACCAACCAGGACCCTGCAATCATTACCTGAGGCCCTTCTGCATGTGCCTTCACTACAAGAGGTCTGGAGGGTGCCATCACAAAAGCGGGCCTTTTCTGTGGTAGCTCCCCATTTGTGGAACGCTCCCCCTAGGGAGGCTTCCCTGGCGCCTTCATTGCATATCTTTAGCTGCCAGGTGAAAATGTTTCTCAGGCGTTTGGCTGATTAACATTTTATAGCTTTTAAAATGTGCTTGTGCTTGTGGGAGGGGGATTGCAGGCCCGTGCGCAGTGTGCCTTGGGAACCGGGAAGTAAGCATCAAAAACGACATGAGAAGAACTTGGAAATAAATTGGACATAGGCATTGGGTGTGTATCCCAAATCATCCTACCTGACTGCTGGATGATTATTCACAAGGGTCAGTCCTAGGTTAAGGGTCCCCTCAAGATGCTGGTAAACTAAGCTGACAGCCCCTGGCCACTGAACGGAAGCCCTTGGCCCATCACCCCCACCTCACGTCATCTGGACCTTCGGATTGCAACCCAGACGCCTTTACCAGGGTACCCTGAGATTTTTACATGTCCAACAGGAGAGGCTCCCTCTCAGCCCCAGGTTACACTAAGTATCCAACCCAATGCCTTTCCCCAGCACACATGCTGGCCCCTCCCTGCCAGCTCACCGCCACACCTACTAACATCTGCAATGAATGCCCAACACATCTAGCAACCAAGTCTCATTACTCTACAATTTCTAGGGTTCTGTGAGGAAAGCCATAGCGTAAACTGGTCTAAAACCAACATAAGTTTGTTTTGTACAAAAACACGGGGAGAAGATTTTTGGAGTCTGAATGCACATTAAAGCTGTGTGTACTTTATCAAGGTACTCTGAAAAGAGCTGGCAGCATGTTACCTTTTCAAAAAATCTACTGTGAACAGTGATATCGATTAAATTGCTATTGTTGTCGTCAAAATAAATTTTTGTTCTCACATCCAGTAGAGAAGGCCTTCCAATTATAATGTGCATTAGCCTATTATGGAACACATTATACGCTGTGGAAGGAAACAACAATGAGAATAATGTTTATTTCCAATATTTCTTTCCTGTAGAACAACCTCACACAAAAGGCAAAACTTAGCTCCACTCTGAGACTGCAGTTGGGTTGAAAAATACTTGAGGATTTTGGCTGATTCCAGTGTACCCTTATTTCATATACATCTGTGTACAAATGCACATCAAAATGAGAAATCCATATGAAAGATCTGTAGGCAGGATGGGAGTCAATAGGATAAATATATATGTAAAATACATTTTGTTGAATTTCAGTTAAATTATTAGAGTGAGGATCATAACTTATAAAGAGTTTGCTTTCATATGATTTCAAACACTTTCAGACATTTTATAGAGAATACATAGAGTAGAGAGACAAGAAATACTGTATTTTTTGCTCTATAAGACTCACTTTTCCCCTCCTAAAAGTAAGGGGAAATTTGTGTGCGTCTCATGGAGCGAATGCAGGCTGCGCATCTATCACAGAAGCCAGAACAGCAAGAGGGATTGCTGCTTTCACTGCGCAGCGATCCCTCTTGCTGTTCTGGCTTCTGAGATTCAGAATTTTTTTTTTCTTGTTTTCCTCCTCCAAAAACTAGGTGCATCTTGTGGTCTGGTGCGTCTTATAGAGCAAAAAATACGGTATGTGCAGTCTTACCTACATTAATTGGAGTCACTCTGAATTTCAATTCCAGCTTTGACCCAATATCCAAGTATTTAATGGCATGGCGTGGTAGGTCATCAAACTGTTGTATTGTATATCTACATATGTCAACAACAATTTTCCATTTTCTTTTATTTGCAGTGCCAAAGTCATACAAGAACCACCTCCCAGGTGGAATGTCTGTATTTAAAAGCACCCTATTAGGCATGGTAGCATCTCCTAAAGCATTTTGGTCATCCACAACTTGAACAATGAAGAAACTGCTACTGCCTGGAATCACCACTGTTTTCTCAAGATCGGTTGGTTTAAATATATTCACACCTGGAAAACAAGAAAATAATGAAAACATCATTCAATGTGCAGAAGCTGCATTTCCCTTTGTTGTTGTTGTTGTTGCTGCTGCTGCTAGGAATATGCTTAATTTACACAAAAGATAAACTGAGCTGAAGCTATGGCTTCTTTGATATAAAGTTTAGATTCCTAATTTTTGACAGACTGCCACTACCTGTGTGGCTCTCCTAGTCAACAGCAGCCCTGTAACTCCCACAGCTCATAAAACTTTCTATTTTGCCAGAAACCTCAGAAATGAAGGCAGTGTCAAGTGAAGGCTGAAATCCCATGCTTCATTCACAGGCTGGAAATTGGGGGCTCTTTCTCTTCTTTTATGGGGCTACCAGATTACCTCTTTACCTTACTTTTCTGGGATACACCTTCCATACCCTTCCTTCATTTTGCCATTTTGTCTCCATAAGAAAAGTATGAATTTACACATAGTGGGAGACTGATTGGCTGGCTGTTGATTTAGGAAGGGGATCTAGTAGAAATAAAAATGACTGGATGGCGAGGAACATATAAAAGAGGCTACATAGGAAATTAGGAAATGCTGGGCAGGGGCCACCACCATGCAACCAATCTTAGACAAATAGTATTCCCTACAATTCTTTTCCCATATATTTCCCCCCTGAAGTGTGATTAGCATAAGCCAAAGACCCTCCTTCCAAAAACTTTTCATTATCAGGTGATGCACAAACCTGGAGAAGTCAGCTGAAGCCTGTATGATATACTGCTCCCTGTAGGGGGCAAAACTCTTAAAGTATTTGCTGTACAAGGGCTAGCAGTTTTAGATTCAACAGGAAACCGATCTAGAACATCTACCAGTACAGATGATATAAAGCCCGGAGGAGCTGGCGTCCTAAAAACCTCTCTGATTATACACGATCCTCCTGGCCTAAATTAAAAAGAAGCATAGATTTAATACCACCTTGATGATGTCAGATCACACATCTAATGAATTTTAACGAATTTTGACTAGTTCCTAAGATTCCCTTGCTGGAAAATAGTACTAAGAGAAAATTGTGGTTTCAAGCATGTCAGCTGGCACAGGGCTGCTGTTCAGCAGCTATTTCTGATCTTTTGAATCACTTTGATTTTGTATTGAATTGTAGTAATTTTTGATGAATTTGTCTTTAGCTTTATATTCTCCTGTGCTTTGAATTTACTACCATGATCACAATGTCTGTTAACTTGTAATGGTATTATTGTTACTGTGAGCCACTTTGAGCTCAACAGTTGTTGTGGGGAAAGCAGAATACAAATATTAAATCAAATCACACGAAAATACCCCTTAATCTCCAAGTTAGGTACACCCAGTAGGTACAATATTTCATGGGCCATATTATCTGAACCTGTTCCTTCTGGCTCTAGCAATTTCACATCGCTGGAAGACAGCAGATTCCAGCAGTCTTTGCTCCCAAATGTGGTGGTGGGTCCCCATCCCCCACAGATTACACACTGCAGAAACCGTTTCCAATTTCCTACAACACACACATCACCTACTGATATATTTTTGAAGCCTTCAAGTTTTGTTTGAAACTTGTATTACACGGTTCACGTTGCAAATGTTAGTACAAAGTGGTTCTAAGAGCAGGCAGAACAAGAAAGTGGCAACCCTCTGAACAATTTAACCAAATTAGAGAGATGCTATTTTGCTATATTATGTAAAATAGCAGGGTACATTAAAAAGAAAAACCCAACAGAACAAGACATTGCTTGTTAACAAAACATATGCTGTTATTGATATTTACTCATAATCTAATCTTTTGCCTCTTTGCAGATTACTGAATCTCTCACGTTTTGTTGCTATCAGTGGCTCGTGGTTTAAAAGTAACATCTGCTCTTCAGTGATATACTGTAGAGCCAAAGGAAATTCAAAACCTAAGTCAATATCCTGGAACAAAGTGAGAAAATTAATTATATATATATATTTTCATGCATTTATAGATACAAAACTTGCTAAACAATTTTAGGAATAAATAGGAATTTTTAAAAAGATAATTTAATTTATAATAGCAATCAGAAGAGAAATTGCTTAGAAACTGTGTTTCTTTATAACAAGAGGTTATATCCCCTCTGCCCTCAAGGTCTTCACATATCCCCTCTGCCCTCAAGGTCTTCAACGTCAAAGTTATAGCTCAATTGCTCTACGGAATTCCAGTCTGGCTGCCAGGGTTTACCCAGCCGGTAGAATGAGTGCAGGCAGCTTGTGTCTAGAGAAGGTCAACACAAGGTAGAGACTGCAGCCTGGGCGAGATTTCTTACATGCTGGTTAAACATCTGCCTCACAACAGATAAAGATCCTCTCCTTAGTGAAGTTTTGCTAGATCCCTTTCTTTCCCCAGGGCTACAACGGTTTAACATAAAGGGACAGCAACTTGTTCTTAAATGTAAACTATATGTTGATCTCCGCCTGCAGTTCCTAGATCAACTCTGCATCCCCAAATGGAAACCAGAGTTAGAGGTCATACATTTTCTATTATTGGGGAACAATCAGGCGCTCACCAAGTTAGTGGCTAAATATCTTTATCTGTTTTTTTGTCGTCGAAACACACTGCAGACGTCTGAGCTCCCTGGAGACCTAGAGATGTAATGTTAGATTGCTTTGTCTCTTTCATTTGACAAATGTTTTGTGTCACTGGGAAGGCGGGAATTCGGTATTGATTGCTATGGATGTTGGTATGTGATGCCAATAAAAGGTTTGATGATGATGAAACTGGTAATTAAGCAGCACAGACATAGCTGCAGTAATCCAAAAATAATACTGATTGAAATATACTCAGTCACAAAGTGATTTCATGCTCTTTATTCAGCTCATAGTGGTGAGGAGGAATGAATGGAAGTCCCCTCACAGTATCTGCTTTATATACATTATTTACACAATGGGCTGCACATGATTGGCTAATTCCGGAATTCTACTGTAAGCCAATCATGTTGTGGATTCACTTCTATCTGGAGCAGGATTGGGTGGTTCCTGCCAACCAATCATACTGCTGCATTGTTCTAGGACCAATCAGACTGCTGCATTCTGAATCCTATTGTTCTAGGACCAATCAGACTGCTGCATTTTGGATCCTATTGTTCTAGGACCAATCAGACTGCTGCAGTTTGGATCCTATTCAACTCAGTACATAACACTGATATTACAAAATTTCTCCCTCGTTTCTCTTAAATTTCTAATGAGTACAAGACTACGTTTTTAAAAATCAGTATTTGCTCAGGGTACTGAAGATAATGGTAGGAGTCAGTTAAAGCTAAGCACTTTCAAGTCCCACTTGAAAGAAGTGAAGGAGTTGAAGGTGGCAACTTAGTTGAAGCATTATGTGACTTTGCCTGTGCTAAGGGGGTGGGGCAAACTCAATGGTTTTCTGAAAGTTTCATTAATGCACTCCCTCGGCATATAGGGCACATATACAGGAAATATGGTTCGGATTGAGCTATTGGGACCCGACTGCGCCGCTGAGGCCCACCGCCTTTCAAGGTGTTGCTGCCAGGCCAGGCAGGAGCAACAGCCAATGCCCAGACTGCCAGCTTTAATGGTCCTTCTTGGCAGGGAATCGACCAGGGTTCCTGGGACTGGGGAGAGATTTCCTGCAATGACTGGAGCACGTGAGGCCAGAGCTTGAGGGACCGCAAACATCGCCCCCACTCCCCCCCAGAAAGCAGTGAGCAGCTATTTTTTTCAGGAACCACAGAATTGTCTTTCTTGCTGTAACCCATTATAATGGTGGCTTTGCTGAAATCAACTTTTAATTTTATTTTTTTTTAAAAGAATTAAATCTATTATAAGGATATCTGGATAGTGGTGAAAAAATGCTGGATTAAGGACTCCAGTGTCCATTCTAGAACTAGCTTCCTACTTTGACATGTTGGAAGAGTGAAGGTTTGTCCTTAACAAGAACAACAATTATTACAATCTCATAGACATTTTTCATTCATGCATCAAAAGCATCCTTAACCTTCAAAAAAGTGTCCACATCCACACTCGTCTCTTTTACAAATGAGTCAATTGTATCATTCAGAGAAATATGATTTAATATTCCCAGGTGGTCAAAGTACATGTTGAAGATACCCTTTGCCGGGGGGAAAACCTTGGCATATCTCAGTACACCTACAGAAAAGGGGAAATATAAATAATGGGCATGCATCAAATCTTATTATTATAGGAAGCATGAGTTTATTCTAGAACAATAGGTTTCTGTGAATATTTGGAGAGATCAACAGCTCTTCCAACCCATATTTAATCAATGCAATGAGGAAATAAATCGTTTTGATGAGGATAAAGTATATCTAAATTATGCAACTTCAGACAATAGTTCCTAAGGGCCAGGATCTAACAAGGTCATATGTGGTCAAATACTTTGAAGCATGCAAGGAGGTGTTGTTCCTTTTAGGAAGAAGCTCCTTGTGCCTCATGGTCTGAATGGATTGGTCGGCAATTGAGGGTTTTGGAAGGCGGGGGTAGATGCAGGGTGCTGCAGCAACAAATGAGTGGATTAAAAGCTTCTAAGACCCACTAGAAGATTGCAACGGCTCTTTGGATCCCAGCCAACCATACTACACTATGAGATATCAGCAAGCAGAATGCATAGGGCATTTATTCCCTGGAGAATAATGTGAAAATAGGGACATCAGGAGACAAGATAATAGCCTTTGCTGTTGGTCACCCAAGTTCCTGCAATCTCACTTAAGGTAGAAGTCATAGAAGATGCAGTGAATCTATGTCTCTAGTCTACATGGTTCTTGGTTTGGGCACCCTTAGGGCTCCCTGGTTCTGCCCAGGAGAGAGTGAATTCCTTCGGTGCATCAGGTGCTTCCATTTGTTTCTCCCTACCTAGCTATGAGAACACATAGGTTGGGGGACCTGGTTTCTTAGCCTAATCTCATATTTGAGTCTTCAAAGACTGCAGAAGACTCCACTTTTTAATGTTTTCCTACCTGCCTTACTGTACAAAAGGTTTGCCGCGTCAGTCACAAATATAATCGCTTGGGTGTAAACACATGAATCTACATCTATAATCATCTCAGCATTTAAAGCAAGTAATGGTGCAAAATTGATGCCTCCATCATAAGAAATCCACACCTAAAAGGGAGGGGGAGAGACAATAAAGAATATTGTATAAGAGATCTTTGTTGGCATCCATCTGTCTTGAGAGACAGGGGTGAAGTCAAACCACTGTGTTAGCAGTACTGAAGTGACCTAATAATAGTAATAATAATTTATTATTTGTACCCCACCCATCTGGCTGGGTTTCCACAGGCACTCTGGGCAGCTTCCAGCAAAGATTAAAAATACATTAAAATGTCACACATTAAAAACTTCCCTGAACAGGGCTGCCTGCAGATGTTTTCTAAATGTCAGGTAGTTGTTTATCTCTTTGACATCTGATGGGAGGGCGGGCACCACTACCGAGAAGGCCCTCTGCCTGGTTCCCTGTAGCTTTGCTTCTCACAGTGAGGGAACTGCCAGAAGGCCCTCGGCGCTGGACCTCAGCGTCCGGGCAGAATGATGGGGATGGAGATGCTCTTTCAGGTATACTGGGCTGAGGCTGTTTAGGGCTTTAAAGGTCAATACCAACACTTTGAATTGTGCTCGGAAATGTACTATGAGCCAATGTAGGTCTTTCAGGAGAGGTGTTATATGGTCTCAGCGGCTGCCCCCAGTCATCCGTCTAGCTGCCGCATGTTGTTTCCGGGTCACCTTCAAAGGTAGCCCCACGTAGAGCACATTGCAGTAGTCCAAGCGGGAGATAACTAGAGCATGCACCACGCTGGCAAGACAGTCCGTGGGCAGGTAGGGTCTCAGCCTGCGTACCAGATGGAACTGGTAGACAGCTGCCCTGGATACAGAATTGACCTGCGCCCCCATGGACAGCTGTGAGTCCAAAATTACTCCCAGGCTGCGCACCTGGTCCTTCAGGGGCACAGTAACCCCATTCAGGACCAGGGAGTCCTCCACACCAGCCCGCCCCATCCTCCAAGAACAGTACTTCTGTCTTGTCAGGATTCAACCTCAATCCATTAGCCACCATGCATCCTCCAACCGCCTCCAGACACTCACACAGAAACTTCACTGCCTTCACTAGTTCCAATTTAAAAGAGAGGTAGAGCTGGGTATCATCCACATATTGATGGACACCCAGCCCAAACCCCCTGATGATCTATCCCAGTGCTTTCATGTAAATGTTAAAAGGGGTACAAGCCTGGGCAGTGAGTGTGGAGGTCGTGGGCTGCCCAGAAAAACAAGGCCCCCCTCTTGGTCTTGCTGATGTGGTCCAAAGGAAAGCAGGGCAACACACGCGGCAGCTAAACAGATGACTGGGGGCAGCCGCTGAGACCATATAACTTGATTGCAGGAGTTGCAGGAAGGAGGTGTACAAGGAGTTATCCAAGCATCTTAGGGATTCCAGACCAGATTTGTGTAGTGTTTGCTCATTAGCATTTTCTTCTCCCTAATATAGCCCACAATGCAGCAGAGGTTTAGGACCAGAGTTTTCCTTCTCTTAGATGGGCTATCTTACCAGGCTGACGAGCCTCACCTGCCCCTCATGTCCTTCTACAGAATGTGCAGAAACCATCTACTTAACCGCTGGACTCATAATGGGTTTTATTTGCTCAATCCACCACAGCCTGTCTTCACAAGCAGGGTAAGTCCCTAACTCATCAAAGGTTTGAAACCCATCAGCAACCCTCACCTGGTTTAGCAGGTCACTCAAAGCCATTTCCTGGGGTGTGGCCGCTGTCACATACTCACAGCTAATAGGAGCCACAAGTGAGAGTTGAGCACAAGGTAGGAAGTAAAGGTGGACAGACTACCCCAGAAGGTCCCCCAGTAAAGGTACTCCTCCTCCTCTAACACCCCATCATTTGAGATACCTAGAAGCACCCACCACATTGTCTTGAAGATGCTGACGAATATTTACAAAAAGTCACATAGATGCAGACTTCCAGGGGTGAGGAACAGTGGTTCGGCTGTCTCTCTGTTAGCTTCTGACTATTAACCACTCTGAAGATAAGGGTGATCTGGGAGTTATGCTCAAATGAATGAATATTCAGAAACAAGTCACTGGACAATATATCCCACAGGATAGCAACTCTGTTGCGTGCCTGCAGAACTCAGATTACATGCATCTTACTCAAGCACATCCAGCAAGCCAACTTTTGACCAGCGTGCAGGACAACACACCTTTCAATCACCCAACATCATGACCATGCCAGGGGGCAGTCAGGTGAGCCGTCCCAGGCACCTGCCCAAATTTGCATTGAAACTGCTGCCAAATCAGAGCCTTTTCCTCTCCGCTGTAGCAGCAGTTTCAATGCAAACCACTTTCTCTTCCTGGAGCAAGGTGTGCTCTCACTGCCCACCAGAGTCAAGACACCCATATTTTTTTTAAAAAAGAAATTAATAATGGTTTGATGTCTTAACCCAGGTGTGAGACAGCTTAGCAATGTAAAAATGCAGGCTGAACCATCATGCAGGACAAAGGAAGATTACCCTAGCCACAAGCTAAGTACAGAGCCATTAAGAAACAAGATGGGGCCACTGGCAATCCAAGAGAACTGTCCTCCCTCCCGCCCGCCCCCAATATAAACAGAGACAGGAAATTTGGAAGGTTGCCAGGGTAACTGGGTGTGATGTCACAAGAAGAGTTTGGGGCTTTGGGCAGGAGGCTTGGAACAGAAAAAGGAAAGGAGCACGATCTTGGCAGGCAGGCCGCGGGGAAGCTGGGAGAGATGCCTTGGACTGCAGTGCTGGGGGGGGGGGGAAGCCTCTCTTGAGATAACTGTGCTGTTAAGATCTGGACCCCCTCCATCTAAATTCAGGTGTAACTATGTGAATAAATCCTAACTCTTAAAGCTATGACAGCCTCTGCTCAAACCCTCTAAGTGTCTCCATTTCCCAGGGATGTCCTGATTTAGAGAAGCCATCCCCGTTTCTGATTTGATCCAGGAATATCCCACTTTTCCTTAGGATATCCTTATTTTCATTGGAAAAATGTTGGATGGTATGGAGTTATCCAACCCCCGAGCTGTATGAAGGCAATCCATAGGGAAGTTGGTTTATTTTAATGTTTAATGTTTTATTATGTTTTTACATACGTTGGAAGCTGCCCAGAGTGCTGGGGCAACCAAGTAAGATGTGTGGGGTATAAATAGTAGAATTATTGTTATGGAATGAGGGGTTCCTATTTTCATCGAAGAAATGTTGGAGGATGTGTGACTTCTGTGTCTTGATTCTCAAGGGAAACACGGCCGCAGGGTGAGGGTCTGGAACCCCCAGAATCCTGCTACCGCTTGACAGAGGTTGGGGGTTGGAATGCCACCTTTGCAACACTATGTGCCAGTTGTTAATACACCTTCCTTCTTACACACCTGATTGCCATATGCATACAGAAAATGGCTGTTTGTGTGAAAATACAATCCTTTTGGTATAAATCGCGGATCTGGAAACCAGAAGGCTGGAAATTTTCTTTTTTTATTCATGCTGCCGTCTGTTAACTTATGCACTGATATCAATGCCCGATTCTAGGAAGAAAAAGAAGGAAACACAGTTAAACATTCACATTATCAAAGAAAGAAATGATACAGCAGAAACACAGTGTCCAAGTGGAGTGTTAGAACTGGGCAGGTATAATTGCCTAACAAGAGCAAATTCATACCTGGTTAAGACCTTCTCATTGCCAGGAAGGCGTTCATTCATAGCTGTCAACGTTTTCCTTTTTTTAAGGGAAATTCCCTTATTCCGAAGAGGATTCCTTGCAAGAAAAGGGAAAAGTTGACAGCTATGTGTTCATTGAAGGGAAGGCCCTGGTTCATCGCTTAAAGGTAAAGGTAAAGGGACCCCTGACCATTAGGTCCAGTCATGACCGACTCTGGGGTTGCGGCGCTCATCTCACTTTATTGGCCCAGGAAGTCGGTGTACAGCTTCCGGGTCATGTGGCCAGCATGACTAAGCCACTTCTGGTGAACTAGAGAAGACCATGGAAATGCTGTTTACCTTCCCACTGGAACGGTACCTATTTATCTACTTGCACTTTGACGTGCTTTCGAACTGCTAGGTTGGCAGGAGCAGGGGCCAAGCAACGGGAGCTCACCCCGTTGCGGGGATTCGAACCGCCGACCTTCTGATCGGCAAGCCCTAGACTCTGTGGTTTAACCCACAGCACCACCCGCATCCTGGTGTTGGGTTTCTATTTTCTTCACTGTGCAGCTACTGTGTGTCACAAGACACTGTTTACATTCCACAGTCCGAGTTACTGTTGGGTTCCCACGGGAATGGGAGACTGGATGTGACGTACACTGGTTTCCTGTTTTTCAGTGTTCTCGCGGTTCTTTCTTTTGAGAGGAGTTGCTTCTCAAGATAAGGACGAGCCTGTACCAGCTCCAGATGGGCCGGAGCTGGTCAAAATCTCACACCTGGTTCATCCCTTAGGAACAGCTAATAAGCACTTTCTGAGAGGCTGGGACCTCTAAGTTCAGAAAAGAAGCTGAGAAAAGGGAACAAACATAAAGAGCTGGCTCAAACAGCTGCCATATGGAGCCAGAACTGCACTCAGATGGGCAGAATGCCCTTCTGCTGCAAGAAGATCAAGTAATCCAGGTACGGATTTCATTTTCTTTTCTACCACACTGCTGCTTCTGCCTCTTCAGGAAGTGCTTGTTAGACAGGCCTCAAAGTCCCAGCAGGAGTGTCAGCTTAGCCCCGCGGTCGTGGGTGCCCAGGGTCGTGGGTGCCATGCCGCATGCTTGGCCCTGACACCAAAATTTGTGGGTGCCTGGCCCCTTCATGGGGAATTTTGTGGGGGTTTGGGCACCCAGGGCCCCAGAGAATTGGCACCTATGAGTCCCAGAATCAGGACCTTTAGTTAGCTGAATGCCCTCCTGCCTAAGAGGGAAAGAAAGACTGGCCAAGAGCAATTAGACAACAACAACACACTTTTACTGACCTTAAGAATGCAGTAGAAGAGGTGCCCAGATGCAATCTATCTGGGCACTTCCTCTGCCTTCTAAGGGGCAATCAAAAATATATTGCCTAATTATTATTCTAAGGGAGGAAGAAGGCACCTGTGGCATTTGTAACTGACAAAGAAGAAGAGATGTTTTAGAAAAGACAACAGTTGCAGGGATCAGAGCACCAGAAGATACAATGCCTCATTTTAAAATGTTTCCTTTTTAAAACATCACCGTGGCCATTGTTTTGAAGAAAATATCCAACATATATATTGGAATCATGGAACTGAAAGGGAACAGAAGGATCTATATTCTTCAGAAAGGCATTCATAGACTACCTGTGAACTTAGGTGAACTGTGGAAGTTTATGTGTTAATTAGTTAATTAATATCCCACCACTCCTCCTGAAGGAACTCAGCTTGGCAGTGGGGTGGGGAGGGAGTTGAGGCTATTGCAGGACACAGTTTTGATATTGGTGGGTCAGCCAGGGGAAATGGGGAGAGGGGGCTTTCAATCAGTTGTCCCATCCATTGCGAATTGCCCCCTTTCTAATTCAATTAAAATGCTTTCACCAAACCATAAATCACATCACAAAAAATGCGAATCCATTCTAAACAATAGCAGCAAATTGCCATCTGTTCAGAGTTATCAATTAAATAATAATTAAATCAGAGTCCTTTGGTGCATTGTACCTGTTGAGATAACAAAGCGATGCCAGTGTTCTGTTCATAATCAACGAGAAAAGAAACCACCCGTCTGGATAAGTGCCTTTCACCTTTCATTTTGTGAGGCAAGCAGCTGTGCCATTTTTGAAATGTATCATTGCTATAGAAACAAGTGGATTCCTGATTTTTTTAAAAAAACAACAACAAAAGGATGCAAAGTAATCGATTTAGAAATACGTCGTTGTTCGAACTTAAAAGCTTTGCCAAAGAATCCACTGAGCTCTGAATATACAGGAGTGGCTAGTGGGGAGGGGCAATGGTGTGTACCTGGCCTCCTAGCAGGACAGCCACTGCCACTGACCAGGAGGGAGAAGTGGAGGATCAAGGCAACAGAAAGGTCAGAGCTGTACGGTGCACCAACATGATGATGTTGATGATGATGCACCCATGCAGCAGTGGTTTCCCCATTACCTTGCCCCTCCTGTCCTCCTTCCTGGTAAGTGGCAGCAACTCGCCGTGTCAGTGCTCCACTCAGCAGGCCTCTCCTGTATAAAGCAAGCAAGAAGCAAAGCAAGAAGATTTTACAAGAGCAAGGGCCAAACTGCACATTATTGATGCTTTTTAAAAAGTACACACAGGTCCTACTAACCAAACACTATGCATTCCCTGGAAATCATTCCATGGGCAAGCATTCACATCATTTCCATCAATTCCTGTGCAAACGTTTCTAACCGTGGTTTTTGTACGATCTCCCCCCCACCCCCACCCCAGTCCCATCTCTCCATGGTTTCTTCCTGAGATGGCTTCAGCTTAACAGCAAAAGAAAGACAAAGTGGGGAAATGAATTTTCAAATCTCTCCTGCTCTGATTTGTCCGATCTCTCTCGCTCCCTCCCTCCCTCCCTCCCTGCATGGTTTCTTCCCCCAAATAGCTGTCACTGACTAGCAAAGCAAAGACATGCAAGGAGTAAGAAAGTGGGTAAACTCCGGATGTTCAGATATCTGAATCTCTGGAGTGTATAGTGAAGCATAGAATAATTCTTTAATTTGGACATTTTGTGAATTTTTGCATGGCTAGCAGGCAGAAAGCAGGGCCTGTGTATATGTTTAAACTGGCCATTTTTATGTTGAAGAAAAAACTGTTACAAAATGCCTTCATCTTCATCTAGCCTGGCACCAGTTTTCTTCTGCTGAAAATCACTCACCTGTGACTTCAATTTTCCTGCACAGCATCCGCAGAGGCAAACTGAGGTGAGGTTGATAGAATTTTCTGCCAGAAACTGTTGTGGGACTGAGAAGCCTGGATCAGAAGCCTGTTCTGGATTGGGGCTCTGAACCTGCTTTTTTGGACCCACAATACTGAACCAAAGGCCCTGGTGAATACAAGGACGTGCGGGGACCCCAAACAGTGACTCCTCCAAAGACCTCAGTGATCAGGTAGTGATCTAAAGGTTGAGATGCTCCTTATGCTATCATAAGCTCCTTATGCTACAAGCTAAGGGCTTTGTAAATAAATATAAGAACTTTGAACTTATCCTAGTAGCGTATGGCAGCCAGTTCCCTAAAAGCTCTGATAGCGACCACAAAAGCTTCCAGTAATAAATTTGCTCAACTGTCCTTTTGATTTCTGAACATTAATTTGCCAAGGTGGCCAGGAAGTCAAATTATGTACTGAACAGAATGCACCAAACCTCAACTATATGTCAGCAAATTTTCATAAGGTTTTATCGTCATTTGCCTTACCTGGCTCAATGACTTATCTTTGTTGAATGACAGACCAACATAGTCCGCTGCAAGAAAAGCAGAAATATATTAGCTACAACTCAGTGCTTGCACTTCTAAAATATAGTTTACAAAAGGCATCAACGCAGTTTCATGTGAACAGTTAAAAAGAACTCAGGGTGAAATTTTGAAATTATTTTTGTTACATGCCTTAAAATATATAAGTGTGTATGAGCAGAGAGGCATGCTCTCTGGCTTGAGCTGGTTTATTGCAGGCAAGCATTGCGGGAGCGTTCTTTGCCTCCACTTACACTATGGAGTTTTGCAGTGTGCTATTTTGTCCCCCATGCTATTCAACAGCTACATGAAGACATTGGAAGCAGACATGAGGACATTAGATGACACAGCTATATTTCTCCATAACGTTGGAGAACCCATGGATTCAAGTTACACATTCAACACATATAAATCACTTTTTCTTTACCAATCTGGCTGAGTCCCTGGTTTCCTTACTTTCATATAATTCTTTATTAGCTAGACACTGGCGGCTGTACCATATTTCAGCTTTAAGATAATCATCCTGTGGGCGGAAAAAGACAAGGAAATACTTAGCATGCCAAGAGAATTCACATAGTATAGCTGTTAAGATTCTGAAAGGGTCTGCTGAGGCACAAGTCGTCCTTTCTAACTATCACACATTGCCTAAAAACCTCTGTGGAGCCAAGGAAGACAGTGGACAATACTGTCAAATGTCAGAAAACAGCACTAGCTTTCTAGTTTCTAGTGGCAATGCCAGTGATATTAGTAGTGGTGCTGGTGGTGGAACAACTCAAGAGAATTGATGGCCAAAAGTAGACAGAATTACAGAGATGTCAGAAGCAGAGCAAGATGTAGTTGAGATACCAACTTCCCTAAGATCTCATTCCAGCTCCCAATGATAGTCAGGAGAAAAGAAAACTACCCCACTGCCTCTTTCTGTTCTTCTCATACAGCACCGAATTCTGATTTAACACATTGACAGCTGTTTATATAACCTTGTCAGGGAATTCACAGATCAAAGGATAGCTATATGGCTTCAATGGGACCCAATTCCTCTTGTCCTCTGAAATTATAGCACACAAGTGGAAATTGTGGTTTGAGGACCCGACCCCCGCGATGTGAAATAAATACACAAGGACACGTGATATAAGGTTAATGGGCAAGAAAAGGCCACAACTTTATTGATTACAGCAGTGAAAAGGTATTGGCTTAGGCATTGGATGTCTAAAACAAGGGGGTTTATTCACCAGTAGGTGGAGCCTGTTGATGCTAATCCAACTATAGGCTCTCCCCTGATGTCACCGGGGGTCGTGTCATGGCCTCCCGCCAAGCAGGCATCGGACAGAGTACACGACCGCCAGATTCCTTTAACGGAATACCCAAAAATTGAAGGCATAGGCGATGGCCACACCCAGCCCCTCGACACACCCCAACACATTATTCCAATGCCTAACTGTCCCACCAATACCACAAAAAGTTGTGACGATTGCTACGAGGTAGGCGAAAAAACCAAAAAGCCTAATGCCAAATGGAAAAATTCCTACCAGGCCCCCTAGACAACCAGGGCGACCAACCCAAGGTCCATAGCAAGGCCAAAGAACAAAGACCCTGAGCTAAAAGGGAGTGGAGGGTGGGTGACTCGTGACGAGAGGACGGAGAAGAATGAGGCCGAGGAGAGGCTGGCGCCGCCGCAAAAGGCTGCTGAACACGCCCCCTCGAAGGCACCTGGTTGGATGCCTGCCGAGGGGGCGTGGGCGCCAGCCAGGTGAGAGGAGGAGGCAGGGGGCTAATGCCCCCTGCTGGGGGCGGTGCTCGGGCTCCCGGCCACAACCACTCCCCTCTCTTCCAGGGAGGAGAGTCTATAGCAACTGTAACTATACGATGCACTATCCTATGTCTTGCTTTCAAAACTCACTGCTTTATCACAGTAATTTATATACTGCTTAATTGCAATAGCCTCTAAGCAATTTATAAAAGTTTTTGTGAGTTATAGCTCTATTCTCTGTATTAATGGGAATGGGCCAAGAGGGATCCCTTCCCCCAACCCTCATTCAGCTTGTTACTCCAGCAATCTCCAGGATGAGTCTGTGACTGGGACAAGAGTAAAAGGAGTTCATCTACACACATCCCTCAGCACTTCAAAGTTCACAGTTCCTCTGTGAACTGTGACTGTGATAAACCATTAGTACTACTACTACTAGTAGTAGTAGTAGTAGTAGTATACCACCCTATAACCTATAACTCAGGGCAGTTCACAACATAAAATTTCAATAAAATAACACAGAGTACATAATAAAAATGAAAACAAACACGGCCCAATAATTCTCCTGTCTACAAACCACGCAGTTGGTCAGCATGGGGGGTGGGGTTGGAGAAATGAAATTCAGTGTCTTATGAGAAAATAAAAAGCAAGGCGTTGGCTATCAAGCTACTGATTCCTGATGCTGTGGGAAGTTAGGGAGTGAAAAATAACATTCTGATGCTTGTATAGCTGTGTGGCTAAGAGAGCTGGAGTGTAAGGTGCACCCTCCCATTTTGTGCCTTTGGCATGACAGTTGTGAGAGCTGTCTTAATTCCATATTTATGCCTGGCAGGCCTTAAGTCCTCCCTCTGTTTGCTACCTCAGCGTGGTTCCCGGTGAAGGAATAACTTGTCCCATTGTGGTCCTTCCCTCACGTTGTCAAAAAGTTCCTTCCTGAGGCGCTGTTTGCTCAGACCCCGACATTTGTGGATCCTCTGTCTAACGTCATCTCCCAAGGGGAGCCATAAAGCCACCCAAGGGTTCTGGTGAGCTAGCCAACCTTTCTTCCCTGTGAGTTTTCCTGTCAATTGTGTTGTCGCTAGAAAGCTATGTTTATTGGGCTCTGTGTGTGTGCCTGCAAGCTTCTGTCTTCTATGTGTCGTCGAGGTGGGTGAGGGCATGGAAGCAACACGGCTGACTTGCAGGTGTCAGTTGCCTAGCATACAGAGATTGCATTGTGTCAGTGCTGGGGTGGGTGTGTGTATCACAATATATTGCTAAGTTTTCTCTCCTTTAGAGTGCTGCCATTTACATTTGAATTTGCAGCTGGAAATGCATAGGATTCTGACAACACATTTGATGTCAATACTAAGCCAATGTTAGCATTCTGCCCAGTGTACCAGGGTCTCTGGATTTCATTGTTAGGATCTGTATACTACATGATTTATGATCCTTGGGACACTTATTTCTAAATGGCTAACAAAACGAATGCCAGAAAGAGTTTCAGAAAACATCATTTGTGAGATGTTACAAAAACACACCACTGAGAACAACAAACACAACATTTAGCAATTTCTCACCATTTCAAAGCCACATAAGGTTGGTTTGCCGAACTGAAATAAAACACAGTAAGACCAAATTGTATGAATCATCACTTTCTCCCACACTTTTCACAAGGAATTTCACAAGTGTATTACTTTACATATTCATTTACCACTTACACTCAATATTATTAACATGATCATTGGTTGTTTTGAGTGACATAAGAAGCCTGCCTCCACCAACAGCCTGGGGCAACCTAGCCAGGGCATGTACTTTTCCTGTGAGATAATAGGAAATAAGCAATAGCTACAAACCAACAGCTAAAACGTCTAAGGAAATCAAGTACCATACCCATCACTAAAAAGAATTCAACAATGGTGCCAGCAAAACTCTCTGCGGAGAGGCTTCCAAAGACAAGACAACAGAAAAGGCCCTGTCACAACCCCCTTCACTTCTAAAGGTAGCACTCCTGAAGCAGGGCCACAGAGATTGATCTTAATATAAGAGGTATCTATTAATTGCAGCAAAGCTACTGTTGGTGCAAAGAAAAAACAGGTACACAAAGGAGAAGTCCTGGATACCAAGATCCAAGTTTGGGGCAAGTACTCTTTATTGAGAGACCCCAGCAGATATTTAAAATCACAAAATATGCAGCAAAAGTGAAGCATAGGAATATGAGAATATTTTTTATTATTTATACCCCGCCCATCTGGCTAGGTTGCTCCAGGCTGTTAAGACCTTTAAAATTTGCCCTTTCAAGTTCCTTCCAAAGTTTCCCACTTCCCCTAGCATAGAAAAAGATGTGTGGTAAGAAGAAGAAGAGGAGGAGTTTGGATTTGATATCCCGCCTTTCACTCCCCTTCAGGAGTCTCAAAGCGGCTAACATTCTCCTTTCCCTTCCTCCCCCACAACAAACACTCTGTGAGGTGAGTGGGGCTGAGAGACTTCAAAGAAGTGTGACTGGCCCAAGGTCACCCAGCAGCTGCATGTGGAGGAGCGGAGACGTGAACCCGGTTCCCCAGATTACGAGACTACCGCTCTTAACCACTACACCACACTGGCTCTCACCAGGTTAAAATGGTTCACATACAAATTCTCTTCAAAGGTTTGGTTCATATGCTTTTCCACACATCAATCAAAAACGTTGCACAGGCAGTAAAACTTGGTTTAGTTCCAAAGTGGTGAAAGTTTCTAAATTATTGATATAGGAACACAAGAATGGCTTGTGAAAGCCATGCAGCTAAGCTGGAGCAACCAGCTTATCCTCTTCATACACTTAGTTCATCAGGAGAACTGGGAAGAGAACAATTAGTACACAGATTAACAACGCAATCCTAGATGTGCCTACCCAGACGTAGTTCTCACCATGTTCAATGGGACTTAATTGCAGGAAATTGTGTATAGTAGGGTTATAGTCTTAAACTGAACGAGATTGTCTTCTGAGCAGACATGTATGGCATTGAACTGATAATAGATTTCAGGAGGAGATCTTCCAAACTTAGTTTTTTTGCAGTATGCTTACCAGTGTTTTTTAAAACATTAGATGATTGGAGGAAAGGGACACAGGGATATTTAGAAGTGCACATATGTACCTGCAACAGCTTTCCAGTTTTAATGCGCAGATCATCACTGATAAATAATCCTAGTGAGGTGAGGAGTACAAGACGAGTATTTGTTACGGTGAGATCCACAAGCGCAAGTCCGTAACAATCTTGAGGAGAGAAAAGGCACTGTGAGTAACCTGAGTTGCATCTCTCAGACTTCCATCATTACTTGTTATAGACATGGCAAATTACACCCATATTGAGACACCCAGATCTGTTGGGCAATCCATGCACATGATATGCATTTGAAGAAGGTCTAGATCTATGTGGTTTTTAGAGAGGGTGGAGTGATGAAGTCTGGTCTTTCGAACCGTGCTCCTCTGCTGCATTTTAAAAAAAAAGATATAGCAAAGGCAAGTTCAGGGGGCAGCAAGAACAGGCTGACTCTTCTGACCTTGCCCATCTGACTTTGTTGCCCCAGCCACTCTGGGTGGCTTCCAACACATATAAAAAACAATAAAACATTAAACATTTAAAAAACCACCTTCCCTATACTGGGCTGCCTTCAGATGACTTGGGGGGTCAGATAACTCCATACCCTCCAGTATTTCTCTGGTGAAAATAGGGCTATCCTAAGAAAAAGTGGGGCATTCTGGGATCAAATCAGAAACCGAGACAGCTCCTGTAAATCTGGGACTGTCTCTGGAAAATAGGGACACTTGGAGGTTCTGCACTCCAGAGTAAAAAAAATGGCAACCCTGGGAACCACAGCTGAAAGCGGCAGTAGCCCAACATGCCAGATTCAAGGCTGGCATCAGTCAAAAGCCCTAAACAGGCTGTAGAATCTGAACTGTCAATCCCACCCCAGAGAGAGAAGACCCTAAATGTTGAGGGATGAGGGTTCCCATATCCAAGAAGCTGAAATTTGGGACCTAAGGAGGCAGAGATTCTTTCTTATCACTGTCCAAAGAAAAGGGATGAGGGAGGGCTCTCCAGATCCTAGGATTCTGAACTGGACATCACACCACAACCTTCACTCTGAGACCTACAATTACTGTATTGGTCTGAATATAGGCCACACTTCCCCCCAAAATCTGACTCATATAAAAGCTGAGTGCAGTCTATAGTGACACTTTTATAAATAGAGAAGCTATGTTTTGAGAGATCTCATTTTAGGGGTGTAGTCTATATTCAGACCAATGCCGTACATTCTATGAAAGTGCAACATGTCCTAAGGCCTTGGGGTAGGACAGGCTACAAATAAAAAGGAAGTGCATATGGGTTAATTAAACAATTGAAAATAAGAATTACCGTTTTCCAAGATGGCACAAATGGTAGCAGACAAGTTAAACCATACCGTATCCCCATCCATAAATCCACTGTCAGTCACTCCTACAATTAGTCCTACAAATACGAAAGAAAACAATGCATTACATGAAAAGTGAATCACAGTATAAAACAAGGCTACAAGTATTTATGACACTGTTATAAAGCTTCATATTTCCCAGAAATTTCAGCAGCGTAGCTGGTTTGGTTTGCTTTTGATGAAGAGATGACTGGAGGTTTCTCTGTGATATTTGAGTTTATTTACAAATATATGCTGAGCCTGGGTAGAAGCACAACTAATCACCCCAACAGCAGCAAAATCCAGAAATAAGCACCCCTGTATCCACAGATGTAGTTACAGACCTTAAATACTCAGCTCAAACCTACTTGCACACACTGAAAGAAAGCATGTCTGCCTGCTTTTCTAGTACCACATATCTAAGTTAATAAGCACAAGCAGGTGGTTCAGTATGGGGTGGGGTGGGGGACAGTTGCAAACATATCCCTGGTGTATTCCTATGGCTATTGTAGAATACGCTACAGTGTAGTGGTTGTGTCCTCTCCTTCCCACCTGAGATTGTCAGGGGGTGGGGGGTGGGACAGCAAGCAAAGAATTCAAATTAATTTATTTGTTTTTTTGGGGGGGGGATGCAATTGCAAAAAGTGCATGTTGTTGTTGTTTAGTCGTTTAGTCGTGTCCAACTCTTCGTGACCCCATGGACCAGAGCACGCCAGGCCCTCCTGTCTTCCACTGCCTCCCGCACTTTGGTCAGGCTCATGTTTGTAGCTTCGAGAACACTGTCCAACCATCTTGTCCTCTGTCGTCCCCTTCTCCTTGTGCCCTCAATCTTTCCCAACATCAGGGTCTTTTCCAGTGAGTCTTCTCTTCTCATGAGGTGGCCAAAGTATTGGAGCCTCAACTTCATGATCTGTCCTTCCAGTGAGCACTCAGGGCTGATTTCCTTAAGAATGGATACATTTGATCTTCTTGCAGTCCATGGGACTCTCAAGAGTCTCCTCCAGCACCATAATTCAAAAGCATCAATTCTTCGGCGATCAGCCTTCTTGATGGTCCAGCTCTCACTTCCATACATCACTACTGGGAAAACCATAGCTTTAACTATACGGACCTTTGTTGGCAAGGTGATGTCTCTACTTTTTAAGATGCTGTCTAGGTTTGCCATCGCCTTTCTCCCAAGGAGCAGGCGTCTTTTAATTTCGTGACTGCTGTCACCATCGGCAGTGATCATGGAGCCCCAAAAAGTAAAATCTCTCACTGCCTCCATTTCTTCCCCTTTTATTTGCCAGGAGGTGATGGGCCCAGTGGCCATGATCTTCGTTTTTTTGATGTTGAGCTTCAGACCATATTTTGCGTTCTCTTCTTTCACCCTCATTAAAAGGTTCTTTAATTCCTCCTCACTTTCTGCCATCAAGGTTGTGTCATCTGCATATCTGAGGTTGTTGATATTTCTTCCGGCGATCGTAATTCCAGCTTGGGATTCATCCAGTCCAGCCTTTCCCATGATGAATTCTGCATATAAGTTAAATAAGCAGGGAGACAATATACAGCCTTGCCGTACTCCTTTCCCAATTTTGAACCAATCAGTTGTTCCATATCCAGTTCTAACTGTAGCTTCTTGTCCCACATAGAGATTTCTCAGGAGACAGATGAGGTGATCAGGCACCCCCATTTCTTTAAGAACTTTCCATAGTTTGCTGTGGTCGACACAGTCAAAGGCTTTGCATAGTCAATGAAGCAGAAGTAGATGTCTTTCTGGAACTCTCTAGCTTTCTCCATAATCCAGCGCATGTTTGCAATTTGGTCTCTGGTTCCTCTGCCCCTTCGAAATCCAGCTTGCACTTCTGGGAGTTCTCGGTCCACATACTGCTTAAGCCTGCCTTATAGAATTTTAAGCATAACCTTACTAGCGTGTGAAATGAGTGCAATTGTGCGGTAGTTGGAGCATTCTTTGGCACTGCCCTTCTTTGGGATTGGGATGTAGACTGATCTTCTCCAATTCTCTGGCCACTGCTGAGTTTTCCAAATTTGCTGGCATATTGAGTGTAGGACCTTGACAGCATCATCGTTTAAAATTTTAAATAGTTCAGCGGGAATATCATCACTTCCACTGGCCTTGTTATTAGCAGTGCTTTCTAAGGCCCATTTGACTTCACTCTCCAGGATGTCTGGCTCAAGGTCAGCAACCAGACTGCCTGGGGTGTATGAGACATCCATATCTTTCTGGTATAATTCTTCTGTGTATTCTTGCCACCTCTTCTTGATGTCTTCTGCTTCTGTTAGGTCCTTTCCACTTTTGTCTTTTATTATGGTAATCTTTGTACGAAATGTTCCTTTCATATCTCCAATTTTCTTGAACAGATCTCTGGTTTTTCCCATTCTATTGTTTTCCTCTATTTCTTTGCATTGCTCGTTTAAGAAGGCCTTCTTGTCTCTCCTTGCTATTTTTTGGAAATCTGCATTCAATTTCCTGTATCTTTCACTATCTCCCTCGCATTTTGCTTGCCTTCTCTCCCGCTATTTGTAAGGCCTCGTTGGACAGCCACTTTGCTTTCTTGCATTTCCTTTTCATTGGGATGGTTTTAGTTGCTGCCTCCTGTATAATGTTACGAGCCTCCATCCATAGTTCTTCAGGAACTCTGTCCACCAAATCTAAATCCTTAAACCTGTTCCTCACTTCCACTGTGTATTCATAAGGGATTTGACTTAGATTGTATCTTACCGGCCCAGTGGTTTTTCCTACTTTCTTCAGTTTAAGCTTGAATTTTGCTATAAGAAGCTGATGATCTGAGCCACAGTCAGCTCCAGGTCTTGTTTTTGCTGACTGTATAGAGCTTCTCCATCTTTGGCTGCAGAGAATATAATCAATCTGATTTCGATGCTGCCCATCTGGTGATAAAGTTTTTCTTTATTTTGTTTGGGTCTTCCACAAGCCGTTCTTCTATTTTTATCTTATTAATCACATTTTGCTTTTTCCTTTTTCGTAGTTGCCAGGCCAAGAATTTCCCCGTTTTGTTTGCTGATTCGAAAAATTTTTGCCTCATTGATTTAATTCTCCATTCGACTTCTTGGTTAATTAGCATTGAATATTGTAACTGTAGCAGTTTGGATGTTTGTTAGTTCTGTTCATCACTGGGATTTGTTATTAATTTTTTCTCACATTCTGTTAATTGGGTCAGGATTCCATCTTTCTTTTGTTCTCTTATTTTTTTCCTATGGCTATTTTATTGAATTAGAAAGCCTCTTAACACCGCCTTGCTGGCATCCCAGACTATATCAATATTTGTCTCTTTATTAAGGTTTAAATCAAAAAAGTCTTTTAAGGTGTTTTTGGCCTTCTCAGTCACATCATCATTTTCAAATAAATATTCATTCATTCTCCATCTATAGAAGTAAAAGTTGCTGAGCTTTTTGGGGAAAATTCAAAGCTATTGAGCACACATTATTTTAGAAAATAATGAAACTCAAAGTTGTTGAGCTCAAAATTCCGGACATTTAGCCGATTTTCCGAAATCCCCCCCGGACACTATTTTCACCAGTTAAATTACGGACATATGGCAACCCTACTAGAGAGTGGAACATTTTAGAAGGGGAAAAACGTAAATAGGAACAGAGGCAGTGCTGAACCCTCAGACTATCTCATAAAGGAATTTGCTGGAATGTGAATTCTAAAGTGGACTCATGATTTGATCCAGGTGGTGACCTATCCAGATCGAATCAGGCAAGTCCTCTTTAGAAGCAGGGTTTCCACCATCACCCCTACTGACCTGAAATAATAGACCTAGATTTGCACACAATCTTCCCCAAGGGGACACATATGCACACGGAGCCAGCATTTCACAGGTTAACAGCTAGTTGCAGAACACTCATGTGTAGTAGAAGTGTAACAAATGCATTCACAAGCAAAACCAACTGCATTTGATGAGACTTACTCCCAAGCAAGTATAGGATTAAGCCCTAGCCAGCACAGTGGGACTTACTTCTGAGTAAACAAGTACACTTCTCTTATTTAAACTTTTACATCCCACTGTACCCAGTTGGAAAATGAAGCTGGTGGATCAGCTAATTATGTAAAAATGCAAGACACTTACCTATTTTTCTTGTTGTATAAATCAGACCAATTACTGCTACATCACTTGCACAAGGAGTTTTTGCTATTTTGATATTGGCTACTTTAGACAATGTATCATTAACTTCCACGTTTTCACCAAGGGTCCAAAACCACTGAAGAAGAGGATCTGCAAAAGAGCACTAATGTTTAAGAAAGCAAAAATTCTTTCTGCTTTTTACTTAAAAATACAGTTGAGTGAAGGGAATATGTGACTATCTCTGAAATTTGTGGGAACACCCTTGGAGGTGAGTAAAGGACGTTATCAGTCTGGTCCAGGGTTGGGGTGGGGGATGGGAATGGGACTGCCATCACTGGGGTGGAAGGTAGGGGGAAATACAGAAGTGGGTGAAGGCATACAGAAGAGACGAGGTTGTCTAAGTCTGCTGGAAATTGAAGAGTACTAGGAGACCGCTTCAAGTAACGAATACCTTCCTTAGACCTGTTCTTAGTAAAATACACACACACACACACACACACACACACGGGATACTCTATTTTTTCATGATGGTGGCCATTGGAAATCCTGCCAGTATATTTTGTTTCAACTGACAAGACAGAATTACTGTTTTGGGGGGACGGGCAGGTGTGGAGGCCTCCCTGGTCTTGAATGGGGTAACTGTGCCCTTGAAGGACCAGGGGCACAGCCTGGGAGTCATTTTGGACTCACAGATGTCAATGGAGGTGCAGGTTAATTCTGTATCCAGGGCAGCTTTCTACCAGCTCCATCTGGTACCTAGGCTGAGACCCTATTTGCCCATGGACTCATTTGCCAGAGTGATGCATGCTCTGGTTATCTCCCGCTTGGACTACTGCAATGCGCTCTACATGGAGCTACCTTTGAAGGTGACCCAGAAACTACAACTAATCCAGAATGTTGCAGCTAGACTGGCAACTCGGAGTGGCCGCTGAGACCATATAACGCCGGTCCTGAAAGACCTACATTGGCTCCCAGTATGTTTCCTAGCACAATTCAAAGTGTTGGTGCTGACCTTTAAAGCCCTAAACGGCCTCGGCCCAGTACACCTGAAGGAGTGTCTCCACCCCCATCATTCAGCCCGGACACTGAGGTCCAGCTCTGAGGGCCTTCTGGTGGTTCCCTCACTGCGAGAAGCAAAGTTACATGGAACCAGGCAGAGGGCCTTCTCGGTAGTGGCGCCCGCCCTGTGGAACGCCCTCCCATCAGATGTCAAAGAGATAAACAACTACCTGACATTTAGAAAACATCTGAAGGCAGCCCTGTTCAGGGAAGTTTTTAAGGTGTGACACATTATGTTTTATTGTATTTTTAATATTCTGTTGGGAGCCACCCAGAGTGGCTGGGGAAATCCAGACAGATGGGTGGGGTATAAATAATAAATTATTATTATTGTGATGATGATGTATTGCAGTTTTATCATTAATTTCTTTTCTATTCATATGTATCAATGTTGTTTACTGTTTTGGAGACTTTGGGCCAAAAAAGCGGAATATAAATATAACTTTCCGTATCATATGAATAAATTCAGAAAACTTTATACTTAGTGTTCGTGCTAATTTCCAATAGACCAGAATTACTTACAAAACCGCAAAAACTCCCTATGAGCTATGACGTACCTCGTACGATATCCAACAAGGTTCCCGTAGTAGTGAACATATTTAAACCATGATGCATATTAAATTTTACAAACCATTCCTCAATTGGATTAACATCTGTTTCAGCGACATGTACAAGAAAGACAGAGACAGATTAGTCATATAAGTACACAAGTATTATGGGTGATATCCAACGTCAAGCAAACAGGCCTTTGCTCACACAACATGGTTTCCTTTTCTCCTCCCTCTTGCAATCCCCACGACCAAACCCTCTGGAGCAAATTTCAGGGGTCCACAGGGGGCAAAGCCTTGTTGCACAAGTGGAAACCCATTCCACTTGCAGATAGACACAAGTGGATATGGCTGTATGCTTACGTCAATATTACTCGGCTACGAGCGATCGCCAAAGTTGATGATGCCTACATGCTCTTCTCAAATGTTGCCTACGATGGTGCACTGCTCTTCAACTGAATTTTTAGTAATGAACATTCCTGCATATTTTTTCTGGCCAATTTATTTTTCTCTTTTTTTCTATTCAGACTTATAACACACCCTTCACCAAATAGAGTGAGCTACAAAAATAAGTGCAATATACATTATCCCGAAACTGGCTTTCTCTCCACTGAAGTTGGTATACTACTTATGCACCATTTGAGATTGTGCCAAATGCTCACTACCAAGTTGTCAAATTTCTCCCCTGCTAGCAGGATTTTGTGCAAAATTTTTCTTTTGAAATGAGATGTACTCACCACCTTACATGAGTTCAAAAACAGCAGCAACAACACAAGGAAGCATCAATAGCCAGTGAGGATAAATAAGTGGAAATTATAAATCTCTCACCTGTATTATATGTTAACTCTTCTCGGTTGATTTTAATACTCCACGAATCCACACCTTCTCCCTTTTGTTTAAAGAAAGGATGGTAACCCAAGATTTTTAGTCTTAAATACTTGAAGAGTCACATACATTTAGGTAAACTGCTGTGCAGACTGATTTTCCAATTATGAATTTTCGTAGCTGATAGTCTCATAGCTTACGGGCGGTGGCAGAGGGACGAGCGGCGAGAAAGGGCTCATCTCTCTGCCACTGCCTGCCGCACTTGAGTATAAGCCGAGGGAGGCTTTTTCAGCATAAAAAATGTGCTGAAAAAGTTGGCTTATATTCGAGAATACACGGTATGTTTTGAAGAAAAAAAATGAACAAATTCCTATGCCCCACAAATAACTCAGAGATGCATTTTAAATAAAAGCACACATTCTACTCATGTAAAAACACCAGGCAGGCCCCACAAATCACCCAGAGATGCATTTTAAATAAAAGGGCACATTCTAGTCATGTAAAAAGATGCTGATTCCTTGACCGTCTGCGGGCCGGATTTAGAACGTAATTGGGCCAGATCTGGCCCCTGGCCTTAGTTTGCCTACCCATGTTCTAAAGAAATGCTTGGACTAACTGATATTATAGTTTGAAGTCTTGTTTGTTTCTGTTATATTTTGCTCCCAAAAGACCCATTTATCCTAAATAAAATCCAATATGGCAGACATGTCTATACAAAACATTGAGATCCAAACACGAAATTTTGCAGGTAGCCCTTACAAATAACGTTTAAAACCTTAGAAATAACATTTAAAACCATAAGTGTAGATCCACCCCAGGAACCTTCCTTAAACCAAGTCAGATTGCTTGTCCATCTAGCTCAGGCCGGCCCAACTTTTATACCAAGTGGGCCGCAAGAGTACTCTGACCATGTAATCTGTGGGCCACACACTGCCTTGATGCAGTTAGCGCTTTCCCAGCTTCGGGAAGGAGGTAATAGGGTTCTAGGACCTTGGCAGAGCCTTTGCGCCTCCTTTCCCAAACCCAGCACCTCACTTAGCTGGCTTTGGGAAGGCAATGCAAGGGCTGAGGGGGTGTCAAATGTTGCTGAGGGCCACCAAAAAAGGTCTTGAGGACTGCATGTGGTCCTTGGGCTACACATTGGACCACTGTAAGTTTCCAGCCAAATGTTATGGCATTGTTTAATAAGTATCCGGTGACAGTGGCTGTCCTGAGTTCAGGCAGAGGTGACCACCTGCTACCTGATCCCTTTTAACCGGAAATAGCCAGGGAGTGAACCTGGGACCTTCTGCATGTAAATGATGTGCTATGAGCCCTTCTGCAATGCTTTACCAGAGTCATTTTGAAGTAGAAGACTTTGGAGTAGGTACTGTTGAAGATCTGGATGCTGGGCGCAAGACCAGCTGAAGTAAAAAGAACTAGATTCTTCCGTCTGTTCTCCAAGGTGTCGGGCTTATTGATATTATACAAATGACAGCGGACAATCTTTAACAAGGGGGAAAAAACCCAGGATTAACATACGAAGCACATATCCACAACATCTGGAATTATTAAAACTTTAAATGGCAACCTAACAAACTGGACTGTTGATTTCAAAAGCGGAAGCTGCAATAAAGAAGGCTTTAAGGAGCCAGAAAGGAAAGGAAGGTAGAAATCCTCATTTTGTGGAGGGACAACTTGCCCTCCCCCTCTCTCAGGTGATTTTGCCTGCTTTTGGCTGGCATGGGCAAGTGCCACTGAGAATTAGGCAGTTTAGGGTTAAAGTATAGAAAATGATCATTATCTAACAAATTAATATACCTGAATATCAGAGGGCAGTTTACAATATAAAAGCACAAAATATGTAACATAATAGCAAAAAAATCCCACAATAGATCCCCCCCGACACATTTAAAAGGCCACAGATGGTTTAATGAGCCAAAACGCCTAAAATGTTTAAGTTTGACCTTCTGTTGCACTCCAAGGCCCCTTCCTGCCATCCTTCCTTTTCCTTTCTAAATGGGCAATCGAGGCTGCCCTTTGTTTCATCCCTGACAATATCCTGAGGCAGTGTTGGCAAGGCTTTCTTCACCAGGCCAGGCCTTCTTCCACCTGCCCTGCCCTACCCTCCAGCCCTGGGACTCCTCATAAGGGAGCTGTGCCTGGAGGAAGACCTGTGAGGGAGGGCTTCACCAGGCCAGGCCTTCTTCTGGCTTTTTATTTTAAGTTTTACAGTGGTACCTCGGGTTAAGTATTTAATTTGTTCCGGAGGTCTGTTCTTAACCTGAAACTGTTCTTAATCTGAAGCACCACTTTAGCTAATGGGGCCTCCTGCTGCTGCCGTGCTGCCGGAGCACGATTTCTGTTCTCATCCTGAGGTAAAGTTCTTAACCCGAGGTACTATTTCTGGGTTAGCGGAGTCTGTAACCTGAAGCGTATGTAATCCGAGGTACCACTGTATCTCAAAAGAGAAAAAATGCCCCCTCAGAATCTGGTTGGTTTTGAAGGATTTGCACAGGGCAAAAACTGGCAGGGATGGTTTCCCTTCTTGCCTGTTGCTCCATCCTATTTGCTTGCCAACCACGGGGAGGCTGTTCAGGAAGCGGGTGGGAGCAGCAGCAATGGCTGTACTGTGACTAATTATGTGTTTTTCCATGCCCTGCACAGCAGCCAGGATGTGTTATGCCACACTCCCCATGGCAGCCATTTTGTGACTGGCACTCACAGCACTTCCTTCAAATTCAAAATGTGCCCACTGCCCCCCCAAAGGTTGGCAACCCCTGATGTAGCTCCATGAAGTTCATGCTGTCCATAGGACAGGAGGGAAGAAAGGAAGAATCCTGATTCCAGACTCATTAGCCCTGCAGCACGTAAAAGAAATTACCTGGCTATATTCATAGCTGCAGCAAGTTCAGAAGCTAGAACACCCTTTTATTGTTTATTTAAACAAACTGCAATACCATGTTTTGTTATGATGCCAATAAATAAATAAAAGTTCTTTAAATCGCATATGGTGTTGTTAGATCCAAGGAGAGTCTGAACAACCAATAATAGTTCACTCCATTTAGCTAAGCTTCTGAGTCTAACTGCTTCCGATTCAGTTAGTGATGACAGCTAACAATCCATTTAAACATACCACATTTTTCTGTGTACAGGACGAGCCTTTTGGACCCAAAAATGAGGTTCAAAATTTAGGCTTGCCTTATACACAGGTAGTGCTGAGAAGGGATGGGCGAAAGGTTTTTTGGCGCAAGCCCATGATTGCAAGCGGCGATTGGCCACTTGATTGTTGGGGGGGATGCCGAAAATCGCCCACCTGCCTGAACGCAGCACACAACTGCTCGTGTCGCTTACAATTGCTACTTATAATCTCGGGCTCATACTTCATTCCGACAGGTGAGCCATTTTTGGCATCTCCTCCCCCCCAACAATCAAGCAGCCAATCGCCATCTTAAAAACTCGGGCTTGCGCTTCGTTGTGGCAGGTGAACGATTTTCGGCATTGGCTGCTTGATTGTTGGGGAGGGATGCCAAAAATCGCTCACCCGCCAGAACACAGCACACAACCGCCGCCATTAGCTCTCCTGATTGCCGCTGCGGCAGCTAATAGACAGCTGCTTCTGTCGCAGCAAGCGGGAGCATGATTGGTGGCCGCTGGTGGAAATCGGGGAGCTGATCCGTTTGCGTCACTCGGCTGTGTGCTGCGTTTTGGCAGGTGAGCGATTTTTGGCATTCCCCCCAAATAATCCTCCCCAAAAGCTCAATCCCACCTATTTTCTAAATTTTGAGGCCCCCAAAATAGACAGGGGTGTCTTATAGATGAAAAAATATGGTATGTTATCTAGATATCAACTTTGTGTGGATATCTATCTGGACATTTGGAGAACTTAAATGAACTTCTATGATTTATGCACCAATGGTTATCGGTATCCATAATATGAACTGACGATGAGTTTTTTCTTACTGTTGTTGGTATTTATTTATAAAATAGTACCATGCCCTTATTTTAATTACTTTCTCCTTCCCTTCCCTTTCCCTAAATTTGGAGGGGGGGGGAGGGAAATAGCTAAAAGAATTGATTAGCTAATTCTGCAGAGCCAAAGAATGGTGTATTGGCAGGTTATTCCCCACTGCCATAATACAAATGCATTATTTGCTGAGCTACTTCCCATTCAGTTGCAACTGGAAATACATTGTTGGAAACTTACCAAACTTTTATCTGAAAGAAACAATTTAATTGCCTTAGATGACATATTCCGCTCATCTCCTGTGTAGCAAGAAAAACTCGAATTGGACATCACTGAGTGAGAAAAAAAATATATTGAACACTAATATATTCAAAGATGATATTACAGAACTAGAGTATCCTGAAACTCAAATCAAAAATGAAATTGGGGACTGAAATAGATCGCATTGGCTTTTGTGAGTTATAAATAAAAAAATACAGTAGTAATAATCACATCAACAACATTTGATATTATTAGCAGTCTCAGGAAGGAAGTTTTACTGGGAGACATGGGAATTAGGGTGGGCAATAAGAAAATAAATAATACATTTATGATAATCTTTAAACCAAGGCTAGACTGCATGGGTTTGGACAACCAAATTAACCTTTGTGCTTCAGTCAGTATCTTCCCAAGCTCTCTCACTGAGGCTCACTTGACTCCTAGACAACACACATTCAACATCATTAGCAAATATCTCTTGCTCTTTAATATGGTGGGTTTTTTTAAAGAAGCTTCTTGAACCTGCTGCAGTAATATATATATATATATATATATATATATGTTGGATTCAGTTCCCCAAACTGTGTGCACACATTTCCCTTTGGTGGGCCCTATAGTGATACATCACTCGGACAAAATAAAGTTCTGATCTTTATGGAGTCCTTTGCAAATCACAGCACATGGAAATGCATGGCTGCAAGGTTCAGTGCACTAGTAACTAACCAACCCGTATGCAAGAATAGGAAGGTGAAATAAAGTAAAACACAACTTACCATTTACATTGTAGCTAAGTCCTGATGAAAGCTGTAGAACAGCTGCAAGCACAAGATAAAGCTGCAACAGCGCCATCTGTGATTGTAAAAATAATATAAATGTGCATTTAATTCAAAGCTATATATAAAGCTGGTCCGCCAGTAGTCACATGATATGCACAGTGACCAAGGAAGACAACAAGGATGCAGATAAGAGCAACATGCTTGGTCATCAAAGAGTCCCCTTAGGTGCTATGGAAACTGCAAGCTGAAACCTGCTTCCTGTTCCAAACACTGGGTTCACGTATGGCAGAAAGAAGATTTAGTTCCCACCCCAGATGCAGACTATAAGCAACTGGTAGGTGCAGGATCAAATTATTTCTTATGAGCAGGAAACAATAATACTCAATCATAGATACCCCCATTACTCCTGTTTTTTCAACAGAGATATATGGTAGAACAACAGAAAGCTAAATGTGGGTATTCACATTAAGAAAAAAACTCATTTGAAAGCCTCAAGCATAATGATAAAACCAAAGTTATACCAAAGATCTATTTAATACTCCCAATATATGCAAAAGAGTCTCTTTGTCCTTCCTACAATGTTAATAATATTAGAAAGCATTCTAACCACTACACCATATTGGCAACTTGTAATTATAATTATATCATTATTATAATATAATAATATAATATAATTAATGTAAATAATTATATCATTATTATCATTAAACAGAAAGTGTGAATACTTTCTTCAGCAGATTAATGAATTGCTACATTGTCTATTATTGGCATGGGGGTGCCATACTTGCCATTATCTTGTGCCCAAATTAAACATGTCTTTCTTTCTTTAAACCATTTCTATACCACTTCACATTTTAAAAGTAATCTCTAAATAGTTTTTCTGTCTTAAATAGAGCATTATTAAAAATCCAGGTAAAACATTACACTCTCCAATGGAATGCAGCAAAAGAAAAATCCAGCAAAACAAAATCATTGGGCCAATTGTAACTGCATGCTTTCTTGTAGAAGGCAGTCTCCTGAAGATGATAATGTATGATTTAGGATGACCCAAAGCTTATGGTAGGGTTCATATCACCAGCACAAACTTTGGAGAGGTCACCCATTTCCAATTTTATATGATTTGATTACAAGGCCAGTAAATGACAAATTTAAAGATACCCCTCTGCTTTTCTCAAAAAAATCCACAGAAAGCTCTCCATGCAAACAGAACAAAAAATATGGGGCTTTACAATCCCTGCTATTCCACCCCCCACCCTTGTTTAAATAATGGCTGCTCTAACTCTAAAAGGGAAATAATTTCAACTGTCCTTGCTTCAGGGAAGGTTCTCACATGCCTTCTTTGCCGAGGCTGTTTCAGTTTTGCTGAGCCATCTTTGCCACTTCCAAGAGAGCCAGCCAACTGTTTGCTTTTATCTTGGGTTCCACAGGCTGACAGTTGGAAGAGTTCAAGTTCCGTCCCAGTGACTCCTAATAGCAACAGGACTCATAAACTGATCCAGCTTCAGAAATGCTTGTGGGGATAGATTTTCAGAATTTAAAATTATGTGGCAGGAACAGGCTATGTGGAAATCTTCCCGTAGTCCTCACATAAAAATGAGGGTCAGTGGCTCTGATACAAAAACTACACAGGAGACCTGTCCTCCATGTTAATTTCCTCAGTTCATCTGTTGCTAGAACCACATAGGATGCAGCTATATGAAGTGGGAGTCTTTCAAATTAAAAATAAAAAAACCCCCCAGTTGCGAGACTAAAGTGAATGCCACAAGGATATCTTCAACCACCCAGTTAGAGCTCCTTCTAGGGCAGAAGGGAAGCTGATAAAAGATGGAAGCAAATGGAATAAAAAACTCAGGTCTCTGAATAAGTTGTCTTAGCTGAACATCTTCTTAGTCATAAAAATGAATCACTTCCATTAGCAATTCTCTTTAAAAAAATTAAAATACTTTAATCTGTTTTGTGGGCGTTTCAGTTTGCAAACAACAACATAACAGTAGTATAAAGCAGGTTCACCAGACATGATTCTGCATTAACTATGACAACAGAGGTGTCTTCCAGTGAGAAAAGGCAGCAGGAGGAGGCACTTCTACGTCATTTTTTTCGGGTGGGACAGGAGCAGCATGCAGCAACAGCAACAATGTCTGACTTTGTCTTACTTCGGCTCTCTCTCGAGCCTCTACCTACTGCCCATGAACAGCAACATCTGCAGTAGCAGGGAGCCTGGGAAATGTAGTTCCCTAGGGCTCCTTTCAGCTAGGATACGATGGTTGCAATGCAATGGTGACCTGCTACAGGCACCCAAACCTCGGCCTGCCAGTAGCCAGTGGCGTAGGAAGGTCAGGTGAATTCACCAGTGCGGAAAATTTATTGTCACCCCCCCCCATTGAAATTATTAAAAGAAGGAAAATTAGATACTTACATCAGTGGTGTAGATGAGGTTTTTGCTGCCCGGCACGGTCACTGAGTTTGCCGCCCCTCTTGCTGGTCCTCATGCGGGAGTCCTGTCAATTTGCCACGGTCCTCCCCTCATCTCCCCTCCAACTGTCCTTCCCTTCTCCCCCCACTCCTAAGGGGTGGGAAAGAACTCAGTTCCTGTCACCTCAGACTCCACCTTTTCTTTTCTTTGCTTTACTTAATGCCTCATCATGTTCTTTGTTTCTCTTGCTTCAGCCACAGACAGAGCTCAAGCACCTATTCCTGCCCAGCAAAAGCAGCCAAAGCAGGAGCAATAAGGAGGATGTAATCTCTCATACCTGCATGCTGCTTCTGTGAACAGCCATAAGTACAGTGCTCAAGTACAGTGGATTTAGGTGGTGTCATAGGTGCCCCTCCGTGCCCGCAACAAGCCCCATTGGGCCTTTCTGCAGCCTGCCGCAGGCATGGGAAAGTCCAATGGGGCTCGTCGCAGGCTCGGGAAGGACCGGCGAGGCCCACCACAATGAGGTCTAGCCCCTGTGGGTGGGCTTAGCCCCATCCCAGTTTTGCAGGGGGTGGAGTGGTCTGAGGTCCCCTCAGCCATAGGGAGTTGGTGCCTTTGGATGGTGTGGTCACAAAATTCCATGTTTGAAGAAATACCCAAATTGCAGCAAGTGGCGCTGGAACCCATCAGAAGGGATTTTCCTTTCTCTTCTTCTAAGTCCCACTAGTCCCTTTCAGCCTGAAAGGTTCTACACTTAGGCAAGAATAACCAGCTGCACCAAGATGGGGATCACTTGGTTTACCAGCAGTATATGTTAACAGATCTAGGAGTCTTAGTAGACCACAATATGAGTCAACAATGTGATGCTGCAGCAAAAGAAGTCTAATCTCTAGATCAAGTACCACTCTACTCTGCCTTGGTCAGACCACACCTGGAATAGTATGTCCAGTTCTGGGCGCCACAATTTAAGAAGGACATTGACAAGCTGGAAGGTGTGCCAGAGGAGGGCAACCAAGATGATCAAGGGTCTGGAAAGCAAGCTTGTTTTCTCCTGCTCTGGAGGGTAGGACACAAAACAACGGCTTCAAGTTACATGAAAGGAGATTCAGGAAGAACTTTTCTGACAGCAAGAGCCCTTCAACAGTGCAACAGACTTCCTTGGGAGGTTTTGCACTCTCCTTCCTTGGAAGTTTGTAATCGGAGGTTGGATGGCCATCTGTCATGGATGCTTTAGTTGAGATTCCTGAATTGCAGTGGGTTGAACCTAATGACCCTTGGGGTCCTGTAATGGATTTAGGGGTTGCTCGTTCGTAAGTTGCCGCCACTGCTGGCGAGGTCACCTGGTTAAACCCTTTCTGACTGAACAGCCTCCAGCATCGTGACTGTCTCAGTCGCTGGCAGAATCCGTCAGTGGGCATTTCTTGAACCTTTTCCAGCATAAAAGTTGTTTGACGCCAAGTCTCCTCCTACTCTCCCTGCGCGGAAGTCTTCTGCGCAGGGAGGGTGTGGGCAGCGGAGTACTGGTCTCCGGCGAGGAGTCTTGGAGTCTCCTCTCCGATTCCCCCATCTGCCCCCCTTCTCCACTGGTGTTACGCTGATTTCCTTCCCCAGCAGATGGGCTGCCTCTCTCCCTACTGGGACCCTCTCCTGCATCCCTCTGGAGCCTTCCCTCCGCCTCTAGCTCCGATGGCAGTTCCCTGACATCCACCTCCCCCCCAGGAGCCCCTCCGCCCCCGGCCCGACCTTCAGATCCAACCTCGTCCCTTTCCTCGGCCGACGATGCGGGGAAGCCCCTGAAGGAGCTGTCGCTATCCTCTGAGGATTCAAAACCCACTTCCCACCCGCTCCGATATCTTCCCGCGGGGTGGGCCTCTCAGTCTGATTCTTCTCTCTCTGACACTTCCCCTTCCTCCTCTTCGGAGGCCGGAAAACCCACGAAGTCCTCTTCGTCGTCTGTGGTTCCAAATTCTTCCTCCCAGAATCTCGCTAGTGGTTTCGGTTTATCTGGGAACAGGCTGTGGAACTCTTCCACTAGATACCTGTCATTGATCGCCTCAGCGGGGACCCACGTGTTTTCTGACTCGGGTTCTCCCTCCCAAGCCACCAAGTACTCCACCTGGCGCCCTCGCCACCTTGAATCGAGTACTTCCGTGGCTTGGTTGTGGTGTTCCCTCTCCTCTACCCGCGGGTGGGTGGTGACTCCTCCCCCCCGCCATGAAAATTCCCGCCCCTCCCTGTACAGTGAGAGTAGGGACCTATGGAACACTGGATGTATCTTCATGCTGTCAGGCAACTTGAGCTTGAATGCCACAGGGTTCACCTGCTGTGTTACCTCAAAAGGTCCCAGCCGCCTTGGCTGCAACTTCTTGCACCCTCCCTTTGGGGTAACCCTTGGGTTGACAACCACACTCAGTCTCCCACCCGTACGGCCTCCCCCTCCCGACGGTGCTTGTCTGCCTGCCTCTTGTAAACTTCCTTGGCCCGCTCCAAGTTCATCTTGAGTTGCTGGTGCAAGGCCTCCATTTCTTCCACAAACTGCTCTGCCGCAGGTACACTCCATCCTTCCTCCCCGGGAAGGCCCTGGGGTGACACCCATAATTGGCCATGAACGGGCTCATTCCCGTAGACACATGTTCAGCGTTATTGTACGCAAATTCAGCCAGCGCTAGTTTCTCTAGCCAATCGTTCTGTCTCTCGCTGACGTAGCAGCGTAGGTATTGCTGGAGTATACTGTTCGCTCTTTCTGCTTGCCCGTTGGTTTCCGGGTGGCGCACCGTCGAGAAGCCCACCTCGACCTGCAACAAGCTCATGAGCTTCCTCCAGAACCGGGAAGTAAATTGTTTCCCGCGATCTGAGATGACCCTCGAGGGAGCCCCATGCAGCCTGAAGATGTGATCCACAAACAACCTGGCTGTCTCCTCTGCCGACACCGCATGTGAGCAAGCTATGAAATGGCACATCTTCGTCAGGAGATCAACTACTACCACCAATTGGTTAAAGGTATACAACTCGGAGCTAAACAGTACAAACTGAAAGCTTTTGCCGATGACTTAGTTTTGACATTACAGGAGCCAGAAGCTAGCACAAAAAGAGTGTTACAATCAATCCAAGAATTTGGTCAAGTAGCAGGTTTTAAATTAAACAAGATGAAAACTAAGGTATTAGAGAAAAATCTTACAGAGACAGAGAAGGAGAGGTTTCAGAAAGAGACAGGATTAACAATTGTTAATAAAGTGAAATATCTAGGGGTGAATATGACTGCCAAAAATGTGAATCTGTTTAAAGATAATTACGAAAAATGTTGGTCAGAGGTGAAGAAGGATTTAGAAATATGGTCAAAATTGAAGTTATCATTGTTGGGCCGAATTGCAGCGATAAAGATGAATGTATTGCCTAGAATGTTGTTTTTGTTCCAAACATTACAAATTGTGGATAAAATGGACTGTTTCAAGAGGTGGCAAAGAGATATTTCCAAATTTATCTGGCAGGGCAAAAAGCCTAGAATAAAATTTAAGATACTAACAGACGCGAAGGAAAGAGGGGGATTTGCCCTGCCAGATCTTAAACTTTACTATGAATCAGCCGCTTTTTGTTGGCTGAAAGATTGGCTACTTCTTGAAAATGTGGACATTTTAGATCTAGAAGGTTTCGATAATGTGTTTGGGTGGCATGCATATTTATGGTATGACAAAGTCAAAGCGCATAAGGCCTTCAAGAATCATATTGTCAGGAAAGCATTATTCAATGTTTGGGTGAGATATAAGGATTTGTTGGAAAGTAAAACACCAAGGTGGCTGTCACCAATGGAGGCTAAGGCTCTGAAAAAAACAAATATGGAGACAAACTGGCCAAAATATTGTGAAATTTTAGAACAAGTTGGAGATAAATTAAAATTGCAGAGCTTTGACAAATTAAAAACTAAAGTTCGAGATTGGCTGCATTATTATCAAATAAGGGAGGTTTTTAACTTAGATAAAAAGATTGGTTTCCAGGAGGAAAAATCTAAACTGGAAACGGAGTTGTTAGAACCTAAAACTAAAAATCTGTCAAGAATGTATAATCTGCTGTTGAAATGGAATACACAGGATGAAATGGTTAAATCTGCTATGATTAAATGGGCGCAAGATGTTGGGCATAATATCATGTTTGCTGACTGGGAACGGTTATGGACCACAGGTATGAAATTTACGGCTTGTAACGCCTTAAGAGAAAACATAATGAAAATGATTTACAGGTGGTACTTAACCCCAGTCAAGCTAGCAAAAATTTATCATCTGCCTGATAATAAATGTTGGAAATGTAAAGAAAACGAAGGTACCTTTTTTCACCTTTGGTGGACGTGCCCAAAGATCAAGGCCTTCTGGGAAATGATATATAATGAACTAAAAAAGGTATTGAAATATACTTTCTTGAAGAAACCAGAGGCCTTCCTCTTGGGCATGGTCGGCCAATTGGTGCGAAGGGAAGACAGGAATTTTTTTATGTATGCGACAGCAGCGGCAAGAATACTTATTGGGAAATACTGGAAGACACAAGAATTGCCTACCCGAGAAGAATGGCAGAGGAAAGTGATAGACTATATGGAACTGGCTGAGATGACCGGCAGAATTCGAGATCAGGAAGAAGGGTCGATGGAAGAAGACTGGAAAAAATTTAAAATATATCTTCAGAAACACTGTAATATAAAAGAATGTTAGAAAAGGTTGGAGAAGAATATTAGACCGTATTGGCAGACAGAGTATAATGGAATAAGTAAATATGAAGTGTAAAACAAAGATAGAGGAGAATTAAATACTTTCGAATGTTAAAATAAGTAAATGAAAAGAAGGTTAGAAGGATTTGCTGGAGATACGATTCAAATTAGAATACAAAGCAGAGAGGTGAGAGGAAGTCATGGAAATAAGTAAATGGGAAGACGGTTGTAATGGTTTAATTTGATTTTTTGTTACTTTTTTATTGTGATTTTTTGTCTTTTGTATTTTTCTTTTTACTGTTTGTTTTTTTGTAAGATGTATGTGATTTGTTTTTCTTTTTCTACTTTTTTCTTTCTCTGTAATTTTAAAATTGGAATAAATATTCTTTAAAAAAAAAAAAGGAGATCGACTACTACCATGACTGCTGTCTTCCCCCTTGACTTGGGCAAATCTGTCATAAAATCAATGGACACCACCTCCCAGGGTCTTCCCGGCGTGGGTAAGGGTTCCAGTAACCCTGCGGGCGCAGCCCTCTCCCCTTTGCCCTTTGGCAGCGGTCGCACCCCCCGTACATATTCCCGTACATCTTCCCTCACCCTTGGCCACCAGAACTGCCTGGTGACGAGCAGCATGGTTTTGTGCTGTC